AGATCCAGAAGGCCAATGGCACCTTCTGGTGAAAGAGCCACCTCTCCCGTGTAGAGATACTCAAGGAATGCTTTGTAGACCTGATGGCTGAACTGCTCGATTTTTATGGTATCTTTTTGATTTTCCGCCCAATGGTCCTAAAAAAGCAATAGTACGGTTAATATTAACTCTACGACAAGATGGGCTAAGTGAACTTATTCTGGAAATTAAGTGGATTTGAAGTCATAAAAAATTGCAGTGGGTTTACAGTTAAAGTTTATATGAGACGAAGAAATATATGAAAAGCCTATTCCCTCGTTTGTTGCAGTGGGTAACATTGCATCTTATTGATACAATTACTATCTCCTTTCGTATTTCAATCTTTTTTTAAATATGTCGGAAGTCCGTTAGCACATCCATCTTACAATCTTGGTAGCCAGTTATTACATTACACAGTTACCAAGTTATTTCCCAGATACTTTGAGAAATGAATTTTTTAGAATCTTCGCTTTACCTGGAACATCGTACGGAAATGCTCGCATCGAAATTTGAGTATTGTCTTGTGAACATGAATCGTTTTTCCTTCTACCACGAATTTGATATCCGAATGGGTCGGATCGTTGAATTGTTGGCGCAGAATACCCGTAAGACAGCGTTCCCACCTGGACAAGTAATGCTTATGTGATTGTTAAGTACAAACGTATAACAGAAAAACTAATTACAGCCACTTTACAAGATAACTAAAGAAGTTATCTTGACCCATACCGAATCGTGATTTTTAGAAGTTTTGAAAATTTTAGAAATGAAAAAAAAGTCGAATTAAGCTCTGAGAGATTGAATTTTGATTTTTGATAACTTATTAGGTTTTATTGAAAGATAAAAGCATGCGTAATTCATGGATGATGGGGTAATCCTCGAATAGGTGACAAAACGTTTGTTCTACCTGTGACCAACAACCATAGGCAGGGGTGTGATTGCCACCGAAGAAAATGCAGCGAAGACATCATGAAGTGATTTGAACGGCGTAACGATAGGCTCTGTCACTGCTTGACCCCGACAATGACCCCACATTAATACCTACCAATGTATGCAAATGGTGTTAGTATGCTCTAGTTAACCTGTCACTTTTCCCGTTAGCCTATTCGGTAAGTAACTCCGATATGTATGTTTCATAACTCCTCAGCAACATTATATTCTCGTTCCTATTAGTTTTGGGAAAGTTTTTTGCGTTTTTAAGTCTGAACTCAAGTTAAAAAGACGCATAGAGATTGCTAGAACCGTTTTGAAATGGCAGATGCATACATACATTTAATTTATATTTGACGACAAAACTAAGTATAATATTATCATTTTTGAAAATGGTTCCTCTAAATATAATCGTAACGATGACTAAATACCTTTGAAGTTTCAGTGAGGGCTGCGGAAATCTGTGTGTAGTGCGACGCAGCCACATCGATGATTCGACTTTGGTCTGTCTTCATACGGACAGGATTTACCTGTAGAGGAGTACACACAAGATTCCAATATATTTTTTTAGAACCGAGAAAGAATTTAATATTTCTCAAGTCAAACTAGGCCGATACGAAAAACCGATCTTTAAAAATTGGGAAAGCAGATTAATATTATACCTGGTTAGCCTTGTTACCAAGTCCGAGTTGACCGTAAGAGTTTGCTCCCCATACGTATAGTGTACCCTCATCTGAGAGGGCCATTGTATGTGCGAATCCGCAAACAACCTGAGCGTATCAACAATTTACATGTGTATTTTAGTACCTTTCAACCTGTTATTATTAGTCAAATTTGCTACTATTAATATCTACAAATGAAATGCATAAGAGCATAAAAACATGTATCTACTTTCTAAGGAATGGCGTGAACATTAGTTCCTAACGAAGCGAACTAAACTTTGACTGATGGTATCTACCCGTTGCGAACAGAACATTCGAGATAATAAATAATTATATGATTTAAGCACAAACTAAATATCAGACTTTACCGTATATAATCTTTGATACCTTTTGAATTGTGACATTTTTAAGGCCATCAATTTTAGCGGGTAACATTTGGTTGACATTATTTCCAAGCCCCAACTGACCAGAACCTAAAATTGCATTCAACACAATTCAAAGAAAACAATGAAAATAGCATTATATCAACATATTTGTAATAATATGCAAGGCAACAATCAGTTACTGCGTACTTAGTAGTGCCTATTTTTGTGTGCATATATACACACGAAGCAGTCAACATTTATATTACCATAATAGACTTATCAATGACTACTGTGAGAGATATGTGGACGCGTTGGGTACCCAACTATCCCCATCGTTGCCACTTTGTGACCAAAGATAATTACCATTAAGACCCCAAGCATAAATTTCACCGTTTTCGAAAACAGCTACTGTTGATGTTTGTCCGCAGGCGATTCCCACGCAGAACAAGCTTTGAATTAATCCTGTCACCTGTTACCGACCGAATGATTAGTTAGTTTCTAATTCAACTCCTCTTCATGTATTTATGTTTGGTTCTTAATTCCATAAATATAACATGGATCTTTCTTGTAGCGTACACGAAATTAAAGCTGCAGGCACGCCCTTGAATTATATTTACTGGAAATATCAATGTAAAGAATGGACTTGTGAAGATGATAAAGGCCGAGGTCTTAATACTTAATCTGGTAATAAGAGTTTTATACAGACCTTTCTTGGATTGTGCTGATTTGAAGATGTAGCTCCGACACCTAGTTGCCCACAATTGTTTTGACCCCATGAATAGACCTGAAAGTTAAATACGATGTATTTATATTTTATTCAATGTTGACATATTCTAGGATTCAACCATTACATTTATTCGCGTTAATATGCAGTACATCCACTTCAATAATTCAAAACTAGGACCTGCGTGTATTGTCAAGACACCTGCATGCTCGTGCAAGAATTCGAGCAGTTGAGACTTAAAAGTACATAAATAAAACTATCTTTCAACTGAGTGAGAGCTCAGCTTAGTGTATAGTTACGCACCTCTCCACTAATCGTTCTGGCAATCGAATGGAAGCTTCCACACGCCACCTCTGCCACTGGATTCGGGATATTGTTTGATATCAATACGGGCGAGTTTACCTGCGTTTGTAAGACATGTTTTACTTTTATTTTTATTTATTAATAATAAATAAATAATAAATAATAAATAATATCTTTATTCATATTATTACGATAGCTCAAATAAGCCAGTCGTTGAATGCAAATTTGAAAGCTAAGATAAAACAAGTCCGGTATGGATCTAAAAAAATCGTGATAACTTGTGATTATCTCATTCGAAGAACAATACTTCGAGATTTTCGATGAATGCAACTTTTTCGAATAAAATGTATTAAGTAATGTAAAGGCCCACTGAAATCACATTCGTCAACTTAGGATTTTGGTGAATACGTTTTACGCAGATTTTTATAGCAGCATTGACGAACCTGAGATGTTTGGCCATTTCCGATCTGAGCATACCCATTATGGCCCCAACCATAAACATCGCCTTGGGCCGTCAGAGCTAGTACATGAGGCCCAGATCCATACGCAAAGGATCGAACGTTCTTATTGCAAATCGCTTCTACCTGAAAATAGTTATTGAAAAAAAAAATAATTGCCGGAACTTCCTTGTCCGAAAACCTAGGCAAGTGCTGCAATAATTACTAAGGCCAGCATTACATACAACTGAATAATTTATAGACCTGCTTAACATGGTTATAATAAGAAGGCCTAGTATCCTTACCGTCAGATGTTAGTAAACATGGTAACATTGCCGTTACTTCCATCATGCTAGCATATAATATATATATATATGCTTTATTTTAATGCTTATGAGCATTTGTACGATACAACATGTAATATGTACTATCATTCTGCAAACGAACCTTGTATTTGTGTAGTTCGTATCTTGAAACAAGTTAGCTAACTTTCAAATAGTGCCGAATACTAACCTTGACAGGATTTAATGCTGTGCGAGTATCACCAATTCCTAGGCACCCAGATACATTGCTTCCAAGAGCCCACACCTGAAAGAAATAGCACACACATTCAGTGTTTGTGTTATACCAAAACACTACGCATTAATGTCGCTGAAGACAATTTCAGTCCGCGTCTTCTATGTAGGCCATGCATGTCAGGTTTATTTAGTTCCAAAGTTCATTTTTAATTACGAAATTTATTTAAGTATTTTCCATTTAAAAGGTGGAATTGGTTACTGCGTTTTTAGCTATAGATGAATATAAGTTTAATTAAGCAAATGTTGAATCCAATTAGAAAAAAAGAGTTCCACAAGTTGATCGAAAGGGGTTCATAAGAGCAACAATACATAAATACAATCTGTATGAATAAAGGAAGTTGTTTTGTTATATTGGTTATTTAACACGAAAACTTAAATGTTTTATAATTCTGTAAAGCGAATGTACTATTGCCTCCTTTGACGCTCATACCTCATCATCATCGGTGACAAGGAGGGCCTCGTTGGCTGTCCCTCCAAAGACACAACAGAGTCTCACTCTACGGGCGAAATCTGCTTTAAGTAGCGAAAAGATTAACCAATTTTCGAGACCCCCGGGGAGGCCGCACATTACTGAAGGACACACGGAACCAACACTGCAATAGATAGTATATTGATAATAACATGTACACTGCGTTATCATACACCAGTGTGCAAAACAAAAATAACGCGATTTCCGAACATCTTAACATTAATCTCATATAAAATATTGAGATTAAGAGCTACGAGACAAACCGATCTCACGTAAATTTTATTAGATTTATTGAATCATATTTAGGTTTATACACGTAGAGGCTCTCAAACCACCGGAAAAAGCCGACTTTGATAATAAGTCTAATAAACATATTTAAGAATAATTTTAAGGCATTTGAGCTAATTAAAGACACAAAAAGATAGCTACATGTTTTTACCCTTATTGACCACTTAAGACTTCACAAAAGTAAAGCGGTTTTTTTTTTATAGTAAGCGCTTTTTCCAATTAACAGTTGGACGCACGTTTTACAATAAATGGAGCATGATATTTGATCTAATAAAAATGTATGTATCCAACATGCAATTTTTCAGGAAAACGAAAACCAATACACCTCGTACCTTTACATCTCGAACCTAATGCCCAGAACCATTTTTAACTTGTTTTCCATGGACTTTATTGAAGGTTAGAAGTTTATGTATGTGAATAGCGAATCTTTAAAACTTACTTTAACTAAGACAGAAACAAAAAAATGTCACCGCAAAAGCATGCTAAGGTCCCCATAAATGTCAAGTAGCTATATACAAAAATACACGCGTTCGCCATTCACCAAATAATATAACTCAGAAGAAATTCTGAAAACATCTACCGTATTGTACCTTTATGCGAACGGGCTGTCCAGTGATTTCTTACTGATAGGATCCACCATTGTAACTACTTGGGATCAGGTATACTTCCCTTATAAACGCAATTTACAGAAACAACAACAACAACAATTATTATAGGTGTATTAGAAATCCAATGTTATTCCGAAGTAGAAAATAAAGTGTTTAACTCTATAAGGTCAGATGTTATAACCTCCGCATCGATTTACCACGAAAGAACACGTGTTACTACAGCCAATAACCGGTGAACTTCTTTTTTTAGGGAGAAAAACATGACATCACGAATTGAAGAGAAGAACCGGTGAGCTGTAATGTCACCACATTGACGCAGTACATTCAACAAAGATAGCGTAGTATTGTGTAACTTTGGACCCTTTCAAAACTTTGCCACAGATATTTCTGCGTTAAAACAATAACTCATTGGATCTGCGTGCACCAAGAACGCTTATCATTCTAACGTGAGGTAAAATTACACACGCTTAACAGGTGCCAATTGATAATAACAATCGCACATTTAACACAGCCCATGTTGTATATACACATGTTTACTCCAACAAATACCTTTGATTCCGAATAAGTTTTTTTTATTGTTTTCTATTATTTTGCTTTATAGATTCAAGCTAAGTTTGCGACTCCCTAAGCTAAGCTACGGAGGAAGAAAAATGACGATGGCGATACACATGTTAACGAAGGTGTGTATATTGATATAAACTATACTGAACCGATTAATGCAGGAACTTCTGGTTGGGAGGATGGATCGTATGATCCCAGTCATTCAGGACAAATGGGTATTTGAAATTACATTATTAAATAAATCATGCTGATATACCTGTCCACATCTTCAAGGGTTCCCGCCATTTTCCCGTGAAATTCCTGCGCTTCACAGAGACGATCACAGCACCCGGTAGCAGCTCCTATCCCACCGCCACTGCTTGATGATGATAATAAAGAAGACTCCACACACGAAGCCGTTGAACCACCGTTAACACCCGCGCAGGAGGACATCACAAAATTAACAGCTGTTTCTCAGCACCTAGTGGTAGCCGGAGGCGGTATATAGAGCCTTGCCTATAACTTCGTAGCTTTTTACGCTAACAGAAAGTTAGTACATGGATTAGAGAGATCGTGCTTGAAAGTCAACACAACAGAAACTTACCAATGTGTATTTAGTTGTTTGACTATGTAAACTTCATTGTTTGTATGTCACACGGTAACAAGACACTTCAAACAAAAACATGTACAAAACTCAAATTAATTAAGTACGGCAGTATGTTTAAAAGAGAATGGCTAGCATATTACAAAGTGAATTGGCATCCAAAAACACTTGGTATTGTCAACTTGATACTAAGCTTGAAACTGGTTGCCTATATCTTTCATATTATCACTACTATACGGTAAAACGCTACTTCTGGGTAGAGATTTATTAAGGTAGACAATGGTCATAATACTTGAATAAGATGCGGATTTCTAGAAATGTGTGTGACTTTGACTAGAACTCAAATATACCTATATATAAAACGACGATTTTTATATAAGGCTCAAAGTATTTGCAGAGAAGAAGTAGAATTTTTGCAATTATCTGTCTCTTTAGATTCTCGCAACATATCTGGCTGTTCATATGCAAATTTAAGGATGGTCACTCCGTACAATTTGATATTTTAAATTTTATCAGAAATTATTCAACAAAACAGATGATTCTAAAAGATAGGCACAGATATATAAGATACAGCACCTATATTACGATAACTCTGACTGCTATTAATATTTAGATTATTAAGATAAGCTATTATCCGATCCCTGTGCGCTCGAAATACTTGTGCCCAGAAAATGTATTTTTTGCTCGAAACCCACAGTCCACGTCCATGATAGTTTTTATAAAGCTTTCGAATAATCCGACAATTTTTTTTTATAAAACTCGAAAGTACTACACACGGTTTGAATTTAGAAACCTAAATCATGAAAATGACTCAGTAACCATTTTTGCTACGCCTGGATTTTTTATACAGAGATTAACGGTCGTTTTAAAGGAGAAAGTATCAAACTGCCAGTTAAATCATTCAAATTAGCTTGAATAATTAGTTTTCTTCTTCCGTTTCTTTTTCAGTCTTCTCTAAACTTTTCACTCCATTCTGCGCCTTTTCGACCGTTTGGCCGCTAAGAACCCTTCTGTTTTTAAGATTTCACTTAAAATTTATCCTTTCTTTTTCTTTAAAAATATTATCGCCCTAAAATGCGAGTCTGCTAAAATTTCATGAGTAGCGTACCTGAGTGGCATTTCGGTATGTTTACATCTATCAATATTTTTTAATGCACGATAACCATGGAAAAGTTTTTTTTACAGGTAAAAGAAATAATATTAAGCTACTTCATTATGAACATTTATATTACGACCGTGGAACGTGTTGGTGCAACAAACTGCTGCACGACGACTGCTAATTTTAGACGCTCCAACTCTCCCTTAACCTTTCGCGTGGACTCACAACGAATATGGAATACCTGGTAAAGTACTTTGACGAACGATAGAACCGCTATCAACACCGGATACTGCAAATGCAATTACAAGTCAATGCGTGCAAGACAAACACTAACTTTAGAGCAGTTGACTTGATCCAGATTCGAGAAGCCTGTGTTTCCAGTTTACCGAAATTTTGTAGGCGGCACTCTGAAGGAGCGTTTCACGATTTTTCAGGCAACTACCTCTGTTTTCCGGTGTCATTTTTCAGAATGACCTACAACAAGCTTTTCCTATTACTATTTGCAGAAGCTAACAACGCCTACGGAATTTCGCCAGTAGTAAAGCTGTTGGTTGTCCAGTCCAGTCCACGTAATCTAACTTGAAATTTCAATGTAAAACCAGCGAAAAACTGTTGTTCTCTTATTGAAGAACGATCATGTTTACTTGAAGGCTACTTAGTATTTATATCGGCTGACATAATTATTCATAACGTTTCATTTAGTGGCTTGTACATATTCGAAGTAAGACTAGCGGACTCAGGTATTTTTGTGTGTGAATATGTATAAAATATGTATATAATCCAAAACGATACTTCTACCGCACGCAAGGATTTTGAAATATCCTCATCTATAAAATATTAAGGAATGCCGTTAAAAAAATTTGGGTTCTTACCTTATTACTGAAGTAACTCACAGGTATTCCAGTTTGTGTCGCACCAACACAACCATTGTTTCACCACAAAACCAATGTAACAAATGTTCGATAAAATGTTCATGCACAAAAACCTATAGAGCTAATAATAAACACAGTACTACTAACAGTACTATCACACAGCTCTGTCAGTCGTCCACCCTCGGAGGAGAAACAGTATAGAGGCGATAACTATAACGACAATTACGTCCGTAAACAGATTCGCCCGCAGAACTAAGACAGAGCAGTGAAAATTTTTAATAGCACTTCAAAGAACTGTTGCTCGACAGAGCAGCGAATGTTGTGTCTAAACGTCGTCTGCTACCTGTCAAAATAGTGAATAAGAGAGCTGCTCTTATTCGAGGAAACGAATAGCCACCATAATCAAGCTTGAATTAATAACATGGTTGATTTCGTTTGCCACTTAAGAGAAAACGCTGTCTTATTTTGCTTGTAAATTTCTATATTTGTTCAGTTTAGAAAGAAAATTGAACTTTTGTAACCTTTGTGTTTAATATAAACGTGATCTACCACCTGTGACGTACTCCTAAGGACAAATGCCTGTCTCCTCGGAGTGTGCTACTTTAAGCTAGCATTGCGTCTGTTTGTTCAGACATCGTATATTTCAAGCTCTTGGATGTATACAATGCTATTGGAACCCAAACGGAAATATCGTTGTGTAGTAGTCTGGATTTAAATCCGGGTGTGGCCACTTTCTTCATGCTAGGATCCAGCCGTCTAATACAATATCTAATGGTCATGTCGCACGTTAGACTCGAAGCACCTAGTTTACTATTTTCTAATTGATCACTACCAAATATTCAATTATTGTTGATCTGCAACTTTACTTACATATCTTTTTATCTTAAAGATACAGTCCCAATACAGCCTTAGAGAGCTGTTCCGCATAACTCTTAAAATTGGGTATTTCAGTTGTTGGCGTACCAATTATATACAACGCCGGAGGTATATACGAATAAAAGTTAGGTGACCACAAGATTAATCGCGGACATGCACGACCTTTCCGGAAATCACGCTGTTTAAGCTTCCTCCAGAGCGAAATGCTAGGGAGACGGGTCCAAACCAATAATCTGTTAAGGACATGAAACATTTATATACAAACGAAATTCCATTTTCGTCTTCTAGCGCAGTAACGCATATAACCTTCAAGGTTGTCATACAATGTATATACAATACAATGTTATATAATGTTTAACTTATTGAAGAAACGTTTCTTTTAGCCTATTTGAAAAAATGTAATAGTCGTCCATACTAAACATACACAAAGAGCGAACACATTGTCTTGCTGCTATAAAAGTGAATGTTGATTATATTAGACCTATTCGAAATATTGAGTATTCCCACAAGAGTATTATTTTAGAAGGTTAACCATAGATCTTACGTTTGCCTACTTGTGTTTCGAACATCTTTTTTTAATTTATAATAGAAGCCTTGTCTCCGGAAGATATATTCGGATTTTTTTTTGTCCATGTCAAGCTAATTTTTAATCTAAAACAGGCAATAATAAAGCATAATACGATTATTTGGTTCATTTGATCTGGTCAAAAACGTTCGTTTGAAACAATTGCACTCAGCTCAGTTCTAATTTCCGCTCTATTTTTTGTTGTTCCCTATAGGACAAAATCATTGACTGTGTCTTTTCGGCTAAGCCCATCGGGATCACTGTTGACGTTGAGACGGCAACGTGGTCCGGTTGGGTAACGTCGCCAGACAGAAAGCAGTTTCTCCGAAAAGTATAACAGCCGATGCTTCAATTCAAATTTAAGAAGCATAACTACCAAGAGTTGAATAGTGCTATTATTATTAAACATTTTAAATACATCTCTGTGTGTGCTTTAATAAATAAAGACAGTACATATCACCCTTTCCTTAAATAAGAGAAATTTACCTTCCACATTCCTATATCAAATGATGCATTGATTTCATTGTTATTTTGAGTAATCGTTGCGTAACGTTTTCGTGACAAGTAAAGGTAACTTCGGTTTATGCACTATTATACTATCAAAAGAGTCGAATGTTTCTTTTTTAAATACATCCTGCGATCAGCGAAACAGCGACGGAGTACAAGCTACATGACGTATAGAACAAGACGTTTCGCCAAATTTCGGTAATTTATTTAATGCACCGCAAGCTGTGTACAAAAATAATGTCATCCTAATGAAAAGCCAACTTCTCGTTCAGCAATTCATTCATTTGTTATGTTTTGTACAGTGTTTGTTTGTTACAGCTCTCGTTTCGTTATGTAAAAGTAGCAGACATCAGACTATTCTACTTTCATTCCACTATATTCACAATGGCCAAATTAGAATTGAGTTTTTGGAGTGAGCACCAGTGCCTGAGGAATGATACTCATGACACCTTGTTTGACAAAGTTCTTGCAATGGACCAGGTGTAAGGATGGTTCAAACATGGTTCCAGAATCAAGGATGGATCCGCGCTCCTCAAACAATTAAACTTCAGCCCTAGAGTTTAACGACACGTTTATGAAGCTCACTCAATTCATATATGTAGAATGCTTCTTCTGGTCTTTTCTAACGTAAAACATCATTACTGATCGTTACAAGCGGTGTAGTATATCGAGCTACATTTTTTTGGATGAAGTAAACAAACAACCTATAGGCTGTACCGTCAATAACTCAGCACAGGGCCCTATTCAAAGTAATCAATAGCTGGTGGGATCGAATATTACTGAAGATAGACAATGGCCAACTTTTGGTTCAAAGCACTCCATTCTTGATACCGAAAAATTACGCATATTGCTATATATACGGCAGGTTATCGTTACACTTTCTGAAAGGCCACAGAAATAAACAATGAGAAAATGTGGTCATATAATGATCTCATTTTTTTTTTTACTGTTTTTTACAGCTGATTATAGTTACAGCATCGGGTGACAAAAGATTCTTATAGCGGACTCTCCGCTACTCCCTCTGTCAGGGCATTGCATCAAGGTGCTAGAATAGGACCAATGTGGCCACGTCGTGCGCCAAAACACGCATATTGCAATACAAAGCAGATAGTTTTTGTCAAAAAGAAATGAAGAGCAAAATACGCTGTTTCTAAATCAGCTCTTTATTCTTCATATCATCAGTTGTGGTATTTTTCACTAAAAGTCATTTCCAGAAAAAAATACATCTCATTTTTAACCAATACGCCCACCTACAAATGTACGATTGCGAGAACGATGGGGATTACCATATGTAACTTGCACATATGGAGTATAGCAGTTTATATGATATTAATCAAACGTTTTAGTTTAGCTTTACTAGTATACATGGTCATCAAGCACGAGAAACAGGCGTAAGGATGTTACATGGGTTTTTAATTGCACTATTTCCCAAGCATCTTAGTTTACATACTCCCTGCTTTAAGTTTATTAGCCTATAATTAACTGCCATCGGCCATTTGCGGCCGTTCGCGGCATGGCTTATGGTTTATATAGAGATTATAAATTGCAGAACGTTGAAGCAACTTTCGGCAAACGCTACCTGATGCTGTTGTACCCATGCTTTAAATCTCTTATGCAATCCTATGTCTCAAAAAAGTCTCTATTTTCCGTAAACAACAGCAATGTCGAGTATGAATTTGTTTATTTTTTCGATTTGAAAACGACCTCAACCAAAATGTAGTCAATACAACAAATGCAGAATACTTCATGGAACAAGAATATCAAATTTTAAGTCAAATAAAACATATTAGTCGAGAAGGTTTATGTAGAAGTTAAAAAGTTCCGAAGATTAATTTTTGATTAATTGAAGGCTCGTAACCAAAATTACGTAGTATTTTATCATAAAAAAACAGGTAAATTCTCCAAGGGCATATACCATTTATTACTAATTGTTGCGTTTTCCCAATGGTCATCAATTTAAAAGATTGTTCGTAACAAAGATTATTTACCTTTATATAAGCAAATTGTTTAAAATATAAATACTTTCTGATTTTCTGAGCATTTAGAGATGCCTTTTATTATGAAGGCTTGAGGAATAAGTTAGGGTTCGATTTCATCCCCTTTAATATCAGACCTCTAAAATTTAACCTGGACGATAGCTAGAGGTACCGTGTACTTTTGCTTTTTACTTTAGAGCGATTTCGATTAATATAGAATTCGAAAGTGTAAATCAAGACATTCTTTGTATGTGGAAATATTATCCCAAAACATGGCTAGAAAAAACGTTTGTTTTAACCACTTTTTTGTACCCTCCTGAAACTTAGTCAGAGAACACTTGTTTAAGTTATAATAATTTTTCTGTGTGAGGGAACTCTATCCTGAGAAAAATGGGGTTAACATAAATCGAAGCTAACTTAAACTGCAATCAAATAAGGCAAAATGACACTTTATAAGCAAACAGGAATTTACTCTCTATTTGAAATTTCAATAGAACTAGAATTTAGAGCGGTGCCGTTTCGAAAACTGGCATAGCCATCTGGTTTTCAGTACATCATCTTAAAATTCGAATAATGGTTGTCTGGAGCCAAAAAGTTGTGTTGAGCACCTGTCTAATACTGATACGATCGGGTACGCAACAGCACATTAAACAATAACAATAATCTAAGGGCTCATATCAATGAACATCACAGAGCGCGAGAATTTGAACACCGATAAAAATCAGCACCACGATGAGATCTACCTTTTCTGGGCTTTCAGCAGCTCAATTCAATGTGGTCCACGCGGTAACTTAGTGGCTAGTGTGCTTGCCGGCTAATCTAAGGGACACGTTGTGGTTTATCTTCTAACCCGAGCATAGACACACTTCGTTATGTGCTCAGAACCAGCCATCTGATAAAATGGATAACGGCAATACCGGATGTAAAACTCGAAATAGAGGGAGCAGCTTTACACCAGTTGATCATGTTTGAACTATAACAAATTGATGTTTTTCCATTCTACTGTGTTGCAAGTGTAAAGTGGCTGCTTGTCATGCAACACAATTTCCGTATATTGCTGCATTTAAATTGCGCCATTAGTTGTTGGACATTTCTACAGTCGACAACGCGCAAGCGTGTGAAGTGTCTAATATCTTTCAAAGCAGTGTATGTTAAGAATCGTCGGCAAAATAATCTTCGGCGAGACCTAATTATGATGCGTAGAACTTATAATAACTATTTTTCTTTTATCTCCCTGTATGGACAAAATGGATGTGTCAGCCGGTGCATTACTTGTAAGCAAATTTTGGTCAGAAATCCTCAGATTTTTCAACAAAAGCCTGAATTTGGTCATTTATTGAACATAAAGTGTAACCACTGCCATCTGGATTCCGAGACTTGTATTTATATTATCAGTTACTCTATTATAGGGTTTCCTTAATGGATCGGTACAGTCATAAATGTAGCTTGCGGCCTGCTGTACATGCGTCGTCAAAGAAAGTTATCGCTTGATATGCAGTTTAGTAAAGTCTTCTCGTATATACCATTCCATATCGAATAATAATGTATTAAGAGATTGATGTACTAACACCTGCTTATCCATTCTCTTTGATGACCCCATTTGTAGATTAAGAAAAAAATTGAGTTGAAGATATATATAAATTTCTGAAAAAATTGCATCTATTGGAAAGTTGACATGGTGCTACCGTATCGGATTGCTTGACAATAGCCATGAATGGCTTGTTCGAACTCTGCCATGTCAGTGGCTGTGCCTCACAAGTAAAGCGTACCTGTAAAAAGATTTGTTCATAAGCTGCATTGAGCGCACGCTACCGTAGGCCTAATTAACTTCAAACTGCTTTATAATTAATGTGATATAATTTAAAACAGACGAAGGATAATCTTACACCATGACGTATCTTCCATGATAATGATTTAAAGCAGTATTACTACTGACATGGTAGAAAGTTCTTAGATAAAAAAAAAAAAAAAAAAATTGATATTGTACTGCATTGTAGCTGCTTGACAAACATCTACCGTAAACCAGCATTGGTAAGTACGATCTGGTCGACTGCTGTTTTTTTTCGTTCACCGAACTCTCAAACAGTCTCATCTTGACGCTGGGTAAGCCACGATGATGTCTAAAATTCTAGTTCCACTGCCAATTTCTTTTATTTATATTGTATCAGTGCACATCATAGCCATAACACACTATCATGAATTAATCGTTGTTGGAACAACCAACGATCCGTTGCCTAGACCTCCTACAGCATGCTTCGCTTCTCTTCGTTCATGAAGATACGTGTGGCCCGGACCCCTTTCCAACTAGAATGCTAACGGGCAGCCAAAATTAGGCGATGTTTCATATCAAGCAAGCAGACGCGTCCATGGTAGCAGATCAGGTGTCGTCAGCCGGCTTCGTTCGTAGGACATTTAGTTTACCGACGGTACCTGAGCTAGACTGCTTCGTTTGTTTTCTATCTTGCTGGTTCAATTGCCAGCGTAGTTCAGTAATATACGCCTGTATTTAAAACAAAGCTCTGGCCGACCGAGAAAAGGAAAGGGACACAGCTGTATATTATAGTGATGTTCTTATAATGAAGAGTTACGTCAATACTTGCAAGATAACTTTTTCAACCTAATTGGATCGGCATTTCTTTAACGTTTATAAGGTGACGTCGTAAGTTGGTAAACTTAGACTAGTGTGTTGAGTAAAATAGCAGGCTGAAAACAGGATTATTAGTGCGGCTAGGTAATTAATGCGCGGTCCCAGAACTACTTTTGGATTTGAATGTATAATAACCGAAAACACGTTAATAAAATTCTAGATACAAATGGACTAATTCCTGTTGGTCTGATTTTTCAACTTGGCTATTCTGCATTGCTTTTTTCCATTTTACAAAATTCGACTATGATTCCAAAATGCGGATTGGGTAAGTATACAGGAAAATTTCCTGCGTCTTCAACTTGAAAAAATTGATGCAGTATTAATGGAAATGTTTTTCTAAACGATACAAAAACTTTAAGTTAGAAGCTAAATAGGTACATTTTGTTATATTAAATTGGGTCAGACATCTTCTTTTTAATCATTTGTGTCAGCGTCATCACATATGCTTAATTACCTTGTAACATGGACATGATATTGAACAGCGGTTGTCCAAGCTGAGGTTCATCCTTTAGCTGCTTCGAAACTGTTCCCTAATCGCCTCCTCTCTCCATCCTGATCCCCCCCCAGGGAGTGGCGTTTTGATCCAGTATCAGGCGCAAAGTAACAACCGCTCGCCCCAATTGGTAAGAAGATATCCGGGGCATACTTTTCACCCACCTTCTTATGGGCGAGGACGAAGATTATTCGTGGGCCTTTAGCCACGGGATGGCGGAAGGCAACCAAAAATGTATTCTATTATATATATATATATAGACACGCGGTTTACCGCGCAGTAGAAATAGCAGTGGTAGTCGTCACCGTTGCAACAGGCATTATTGTTGTTATTAGTACCTACTTACTTCCTCTTAGCATCCGTTCGATTTTTTGCTCTGCCGGGCTTGGACATTGCGGCATGGTACCGGTCTCCTTCCGCGACGTTTCCATTATGTTGTCGAAGTCGTAGTGATGATGGTCACTTTTCGATGGGGAGGCAATGTGTCTTCGATTACGGCACCAACAACACGTGAAACGTATCCGCGAGTGCGACGCATTTGTCCCGTGTAGACTCTCCCTGACCCCTCCCCTCGCCCCGTTCCCTCCCTACGATGATAACTCGACAATTCGGTGACGAATCAAAGAAGTTTCGACAGAAGAAGAATAAAGTCGAAGAGGACAAAAGCTGTCCTCGCTCAGCTAATCGTTGCTTCGCTTCGTTTCTGCCCACCGAGGGCTGAAAACTCGACTTGGCCAGGAGAAAGGAGAACACACTAAAGAGGGAAAAGTACGAGTGAGAACGGAGTATGAAAAAATTTTTCGAGTATGTCATTTTGTGGTCCTAATCTGATTCTCCCGATATAGTGCGTTTATAGGAAGCACATTTAAAATCATATTCGTGCATTTAACAGGAACATGTGATGATCATGTGTAGGATACGCTGATGTGGCCCATGTTCTCTAAGTACTGCTTCATCCTGTCTCTTGGATAAATGATAGAGGACAAAACATTTCGTTACGGAGTCAGCGTATATAATGTCCTAAAATACGCAACGCGGATATACTACGCAGTAAGTAATTCAAACGGGATGACAGAGGGATGGCATTAAACAATAATACAAATTACAATTGATCAACGGAACAAACGTTTTCAATGACGCCTTGCAGTATCTCAAAACGCAGAATATTTGCAAAGTGGACTGTTTACAGGCCACGTATATAAACAGAACGTATATAACGTATAACTGGTTAACCGTTCAGGTAAGATCAAACACAAGTAACGGCACCAGAAAATGAAATCGTTGCTCCAGAGCAGCTCAATATTTTACTGCGAAGTGTTGACGTCCTTATCCTGTCAATGTACCTGTTATTCATAGGTAAGCGCCGAGATAAGTATCTGCACCAGTACTTAGGAAGTTTTTTGAATTCTATTAAGGACTAATTGCCTGATGAATTTAACTAAATGTCACTAATTAGTGCAAAACAGGAACGCTTATATTAGAGTAACTACTACAGGTGACTGGGCATACGAAGGATAACATAGTCGTTGTAGTTGTACATAAAAAGGATATTTAATGTTTCGCTTTAGTACTATTACTATTATTATGATTTTATCTGTGACACATAATATCATCTATGGTCTACAGTGTGGGTTGTGACAGCGGTGTCAAAGGTTTCTGCTGATAATGATCTCTGCGTCTGTCTCCCATATCTATATGTCTATCGTTACGCATTTACCTTCGTTGCCGTTTATTGATGTTGGCCTTGTCGTCTGCCTCTTGCTCATTGATTGTTGGTTCCTTCGACGCGAGCAAAGGACTCGCTGCTGCTTCCAGATGCAACTGTCCTCGCGATTTCTGTCGATATTTGTTAACTGCTTTGGTAGTTGTTGCTGTTATTATCGTCGTTTTCAAAGCTGCTCCCGTACGCTGGCGCCGTGTCCCGCTCCCGTGACATAAAATGCAGTAATAAACACTGATTCAGTGCCAATCGCTGTTGATTCATTTAGCTGCTGCTGTCGTTGCCTGAACCGCACAGTAACCATGATTCATTATCAGACAGCGCAAACATTATTTCCTGAGCTTGTTCGTCACAAGCTGAGATAGCACCAAGCTACTTTTACGAAGCACAATACAGGCCTACTTGTAGATAGATAACTGAATGCAGCGCTAGCGGCAATTATTGCTGCAGACGACCTACTCATTCAGGCTTCAATCAACAAAGCAAAATACATAGGGGCTCCATTTAAGTTAACAATTGTATTGTATCTCTTTATATATAAGCACTATTCTCCATTGAACTTTATACATACATTTACAGGCATCGATTCAGAGTAGTAAATGTTGATATCTGAGCATTCGTTACATACGTGACGTCTGCATTCATCTTTAAACTACGGTCCGTCTATTTCTAGAATCGTATTACATATATTGGAAAAATGTATCGCAGCCTTAACGAGCGTCGTTGGCGGGTACTTGCGGCGAGTTTTCATTTTTGCATGGAAATGATCATACCTGGCTAGTGAAAGAAACCCTTAAATCTTAGACCTTTTTACTTGACAAGCTACCCCAAACGCGGGTTTCAGTTTGCCGCTTACTTTTGCACGAAAAAAATACTGTATGACAAAGAATAACGGACTGTCGTGCGATTCAGGTTTTCATCTCTTTATTATTCGATTGTTGTAATTCTCACCATCACTCTAATTGGACTTGCATAAAATTTAAATCCTTATGTTAAGCTGATTTTACTGATATAGACTTCCTAGGTTCTAAGGATCATTCTCGCAAAATGGATTAAGATCAGTAAACGAAACGTACATAAATTAACATTTTAAATAAGGTAAAACATATTTTAATACATTCTTCTTTTTTAAAAATATAGTCGCATATATTAGGTATAAAACTTTCTAATCATGAGATAGCAGAACATCAACATTATCAAAGCTAAACACAATTGGAACTGAAACCATATGTTGCCTCTTGAAATTTTTTCAAAAAGCAGTATGGCATAAATGACTAATGTGCACCTGTCTGAGTATCTTTACATGCCAACGATTAACTCACAAACACGCAGCCACGGTGGTTCAAATCTTGGCGTGGGCCTGAAAAATAAAAATTAAAAAAAAAATTCTTATTAAGAGCAAGTATTATTGGGACTAACAAATGGTTGTGTGCTTCATAGGTCTGTTGATAAAATTAACAGTCTAGCAGGACCCACCATGGTCTCAGTTTTAATAGCGGCAAGTCCTACACCTAAAACAAGCTGATTTTGAGCACATGTTTATTGAAAACTAATCGCTGAGAACGCCATTACGACAAGTGCAAGAGAAGTTATGCAATATTTTCCCCTCTCCGTAATTTTAGAGTGCATGTCTGCATTTGGATTATTACAGTTGAAGATCGGGATGTGTGGGATTTCGTCCAGGCTTTCTTATCATGACGGTGAAGAGGTACCAAGAATTTCTGTTACAATATCCGGCACAATACCCGAGGTCTCGCATCTCTCATTTAGCTGACTTAGAAGGGCTATATGTATAAGATTTTATAAGTAATTGGCATCTTATATGTTTCAAATGCGATAAATATAAATTCGATCATTTTTGACTATTTCATATTTATCAAGTTATATAAAGCTCGTAAAAACGGTAACTTCATAGATCTTTAGCTGAAAAGAAGTGAAGTTTAAAGTTTAAATATCGCAGGACACGTATGATGGATACCATCATTTCATTTATTTCATACTCTTTGTGTAAATATACAATATGTTTTAGAAGTAAAAGATATACAACATATGTTATTGTTGCTCTAAGGTCTGATTGCGTGCATGCATGAACACCTCTAACAGGCTATTGGACTGTATAGGCTGGGTAGGCTACACTGGCCAGGCTCCGTGATAAATTCGTGGGTGATGTATTTGCCTGCTAACCTTAGAGGCACATAATGCTGTAGGTACGAACCCGGGCAGAGATAGACTTCGTTTCGTACTGGGGCCAGCTATCTGATGGAATTATGCGTAACGGCAATGCTAATGAAAAACTCCAAACATAAAAATTACAGTGGCCGGAACAATTCATCGATCCAATAGTCTCTACAGATATAAATTGCATTAAGTGAGAATGGCATCCTTGCGTTTGAGTATGGAAACCGTTCACTGCGATCCGTGTTGTGATATGACATTATACCTTCGTTTTATTCCCATCTATCATCAATTTCAGCTGGAATTGAAAAAAAAGAATCTACTTTAACTAATTTGGATTTTTGTCGTTAAAAAAATTTCTTAGATCTTGAATCTTAGATGAACGCCCGAGTGTCACTAAATGAACATCAAACCGGACTTGCTCAGCGTTGTCGCTGGATGGCAGGAATGAGCGGCTTACAGCTCTGCCCGTATAGTAGACATCGACATGTATTTATCAATAAATTCGTATTCTAATGTTTGCATCATTACAGAAAAGTAGGCGGCTGTGAGTTGCTACGTGAAGGCCTGTACCAATTTTAAAAATGCCGCTTTTCTTTTGTTCTAGCTCATTAAATCTCGGACGCTTAGCCCTTTCTAGAAAATCTTGGGATTTCGTATGTGGCGGTCAGTGTAATCTTCAAACTAGGTAATTTAACATCTGTTTTGGTTGATCATTTTTGCGGATTTCGATCGTGACAGCTGCGACCATTGCAATTCTAATTCCTTGCTTTATATGATCAGCAGGAAATCTCCCAATTGTTGTTGGCGTCAAGCTGAAATACGTAAACGAGTTGACACATTTCAGGGTCATTTCTTTCGGACGAAACGAAGCACTGTTAGCAAGCCTTACTCCTTTTCAACTTCATTACCTCTTTCGTGGCCTTGTTCATTTGAAGACGAAGCTCGACAACGTAGTGTCTCAGGGTTATTAGGGTTTATTGCAAAACGAACAGAAGATCTAACGCGACTGATTCGAAACTGGACACTAAGTAGCAAGTCAGTAAGCTAGTTAGTTAGTTAACGAGTTAGCATAAATCTAAAATAAACGTCGGTGTGTGCCTACGTTTCTCTTACGTATTAGATCGATCAAATTAACAAAAAAAGATAGAGTTTCATCTCAGTTCTAGCAATAAAAGCACTTATTATTCTGTCGGCCTCATTCTTCATGATCTCCTGTCATCCACCAATTTATGCATTCGATCTTGCCAAAATTTTCAAGTTCGTTTGTTCGATGCAACGACGCCATATACAAACATATTTTCACATATCTTGTTTTTCTCGAATTTCTTCCGCCTCTTCCGGTCTAAGTAAAAAAATTTTTTATCATATAGAAATCTAGCTTAACTCTGGGCTTAAGCGTAACTCTTTCACTTATTTATCCTATTTTGCGTTTCATGCAACGCAACGTAGAGATAATTCTAGGTAGCAGTTTTGTTTTGGGCTGTTGCTTCTGTATCTACATATCGGTATTGGCGAAGCACAATGAGAAAAAATGAAACTGCCTCCTTTATTTACCTTTTTAGTGTTTATAGCGTATCTGAATTTCCAATTCCTGATAAAATCCCATTAATCTAAGATGTTTATTATCCAGTCGATCTCTCGGCCAATTCAGAAGTTCCTTGTGTTCCGCTTTGAACAGTCTTCTTAGGTATGACATACACATCATATATGGTATTGCTATCCAGCTGCTTTTTACCTTGACAAAAAATGAAGTGAAATACGTGTCAAATGCTAGAAACAGCTATACTTGCAGCGCAGACTCGAGATATAACCTATTGAATCATTACACAACGAGATTATCGCACAAATAGAGAAAGCGCGTTATTAAACTGTAAACATAAGTAAATAAACAAGAAAGGAATAACGAAAATACGAAATGTTTAAAAAACGTTACTTTACGTCCAGACTAATACATATTAGGTGATGCATGGATTATATATTTTATGAATGGTTACAACCGACAATATCGGAATTTTTTTCAAAAACATCACGATCAGGACAACGCCAGACAGCTTGAGATTTGGACAGGTTTTTTTGCAAAAGTAGAACATACCTGTCAAAGAAAGTTTTAATCATATATAAACAAGTACGTCCCATCGAGATACGGGTTACCCCGTATTATAAAGACTTCCAGTAAGAGCTTCTCCGAAAGTATCGTGTTCCTTGGAGTTTTTAATTGCAGTCTAATAGGAACCGTCAAGTTACCTTTTTCCTGAAAAAAAGAAAATTGTCAATAGCATAGGAAATACGCTTTTCAAGCGCTTTGATGTTTTGTGCAGTTTTCTGCCAAACTATAGATTCATTTTTTGACTTGGATTAGCTATTAGAAATCACTAAAAAATTCATAAAAGCATCACTAAACAATTATGCCTATTAGCTATATTTACTGAGACCCGAAAATCAGCCTACGTCATTGATGTAAATTTCTTAAATAGAGACTTTAATGGAGCAAAAATTCATCAGTGCGTTAAATAGTTTACAAATAAACCTACCAAAGAGAGAAAAGCTCCTCAGATAGAAGACAGTATAAAATACCTACTAAATTAGAAGCAAGTCGTTTGCATTGATTGCATAGTTCAATAATTATAATAATAATTCTTCTTCTTCTTCTTCTTATTATTATTATCATTATTAGATATAATAATTATTATGTACTGGTTGTCCAAAGATTGTGATTCTCTTATTTTAGACTTCAACCAATGTTATTGGAAGTTAGCGGACTGCAGTGTCTAGGAAAAAGTGCGAGGTATGTCCGACCCTTTCACTTGAATAAAAAGTCGTCCTACTAATTATACATGTTTATATAACTCGTTACGCCTTTCTTATTTCAAACAAAAGCCTCCGTTTATCAAGTTGCTTTACTACACGAAATATATTTACAGTTATTTTTTGGAATTAGGATGATTGGGCCGTTTACTATGAAGTGAAATATACTAAGAGCTGCACTTTATAAGTCTTTTTTTTTTGTTATTTATGACTTTCTACTTTTTGGTTGATCTGATTTAGAAGTTTTGGGCACGAGGGTCCGAAAAGTTTTATATGCAACTTCGACATTATGCTCAACAATTATTCTATCAAAAAAATGTTGAGATTTAAGAAAAAATGTAGTAACAATTGTTGATAAGTAAGGTGCACGGCAAAAAGCCATCAACCCTATATTCTATGTTTTTGTTAGTGCGATTCTCGCGCTGCGGAGCTGAGCATTGTGGCACAATATGTGTGGTTTATCTCTGTTCACTAATCTTAGCTATAGATTGCGGAGTTTAATAATACCACCATTTTCTCCGACTGCTGACAGTACATTTCATCCATAATTGACCAACTAGGACTAATGAACCTATAGTTGACGATACGTGCATTAGAAAACCTAACAGACACCATCAGCTTTTGTATCTGCTCGTTTGCTGTGGAGTGATGTATCGTCATTTCATCTCCGTCAAACCACTTATATAACCATCTGCCATAATCATAGAAAATTTATTCTTCAACACAAGCCACAGCTCGATTCGAAGGTGAATCATTGTCATTGAAACGCGTGAACAAAGAGGAGCAACAATCTCTGCGTCTACGTTTTCGAGTATAGTGCAGACGATGGGGTACCCATTTGTCAAAATCCATCGCCCCAATAGTTGACCCGAGGTGCACAAGTACGATATCTTTACATGCACCAAAGGTATGTACCGACAGCCGTGAATCTTGAGATAGGTCAGCTTACACAACAGCTTTCAATACTTCGGGGAACTATTTCGACCTACAAGACCTACCTTCGATATTGTTCCAAATCTTCCTCCCGTAACATCTAAACCAGTTAACGATGCTTCAAGTAGTAAATCCTTTACAAAATAGATCATTTCTATGGCAAGTTGTTTTTGCCGCTAGGTTTGCAAGATGAAGCCCATAGTCATGCAAGCTAGATGTTGAATTTTGTGATTCTTCATGACTCAGCTCAACTCGCCTGAGTGACAGTATCCGTCCGAACGGGTTTAGATTCTAGAATAGTAGAAATGCATCTCAAGAACAAAGTACCGCGAAAATACTTTTCTAAATTAGGGCCATTTAAAAATGTAGGATATATGCTTCTTGCAGTACGCGCTGAACGATCTTTTGTTTATTCGTTGCATTAACTCGATTTATGTTTTATTTTCGAACTTATTTTCGAACCAGTTGTTTTCGTTCTAAAACATATTCATCACAATATTATTTTTTCATTAATACAACGTTATAACAACACGTTGTCATGCTGAAAGGTGAGAGCAAAGGGCAGTTAATTAAAATGAACCAGTTATTTTTATATTTGTTAGATGTTTCATTTCGACGTCTTTGAAAAACAACTTTTTACGCCTCCTTTGTTTCTATTGGTAATTTATGTTACGTAGGCAAATTATAAGGTATCTTAATCATGTTCAATTACAATTATTATAGTAGTCTTGATATCTAGTGTTTATCTATGACTATTTAAAAATTGTACGCTCTATAAATCACAGGCGTCGCTTCCATTTTGCTTTTGACCTTTTTTATAGATCATACATGCGTAACAAACCATCATCCGCAATGTTGTTACTGGTTCCCCTCGGACTGTTACAACTTTATGTACAACCCCAAACCCACATCCAAGATGGACACCTCATTGGAGGTCATGCCCTAACAGCTGCTACATTTTTGTCAAGAAAGCCATTACAGTTTGCATCAAGCCGTACCTACACAACCAGAAGAAGCCCTATTTATCCAGGCTCTGTCTACTCTACGGCCTACGGCTTGAATCCATCATTTCAACCCGACTACCGGCCAAACATCGCATACAATACAGCCGGACAAAACGAGGTTAAGCTTGCGGCCACTAAGGCAAAATCCCAACAAGATTGTTATATCATTCAATTTCGAGTAAATTCATAGAGCTAACATCATATGTATAAAACTTTGTCTGGAATCGATCTATAATAGTTAGTACAGCCAGTTGTTCTTGCTGCAGCTGACCCAACATCCGACGAAGGGAGATTTACGGAACCTCGGGTATTCTTCGACGATGACTACAATGAAGTTAGCCAAGTGAGGCGATTAGAAGAAGGACTTAGGGAAGAAAGACTGCGACAAAATCTCCATCAACATCCGCCTGGGTTTGTTAAATTAGAACGATCTGTCAAATTATCAAAGCTTTACTGACTTAATGAAACTTAATTGACATAATGTCTCTTCGATTAACTCATATTGCCAGTCTATCTAGAATTATAATAATTATTGATTGCAGCCAGTAGTTATTAATTAAGTAGTTAATAGTTATGTGACACGTATCCTCTTTCATGCTAAATGCCTAAATTTCGCAGTTTAGAGTAAAAAATAACTGAAACACTGGAATTATTATTTAGTGATTTTTGTCAAGTTTTCTTTCAGATATAATAAACAGCATTCATATTAGACAAATTACTCAATTATATATTGATTTTGTCCTTAGCTGACCAACATTTTTCAATTCACTTTAATATCGTGTGTCTCTCTCGAAAATGTGGAGAGTTCGTGCAGAATTTTTCACAAACCAACACTTCATTAGGGTTTGTTAACTACCTACTCTAGCGAATACCTGTCATTATGTCAAAATGAACATAAGATTGTGCAGAAAATATTAAATGCGAATAAAATGTTAGCTTAGCGCAAGCAGTTTCCGAATCTAATTAGCAAAGAAATATGCAACGTATTTATGGTAGGATTTTCTAGAAGGCAGGATAATTAAGCAGAGAGAATGATTGGTCATCTGCGTGTCTTCGTCGTGTTGTCATACCTGTTAGAACTACTCCAGTACGAGAGACCCGTCGGTATGAGAAGAGTGTCGAAGGTGACCTTGACTTTTCGGAAGATAAAAAGCTGAAATTGGCAGGACGCCGAAAACGTGATACGGCCAACAATACGGCCAGTTCATCTACTCCAGGGACAACTATAATACAACCGGCGGCAACAATGATGACGATATACTCTCAGAAGATCCGACCGATATTGAAGAAAGATGTATGTGCAATATTTACAACTTGGTAGTCTTAGCTGTGTTACCTGTTGTTAGTTACCGCTGGCTTAAGGCCTAATCTGATGAATCTGCTTTCATTTCAATGATTGAACGGTCTTCCACTATTTCATTTTCCACTTTTACTACTCCTAATGAAAAATTATTCTCGATGCTCTCTAGACCTTCAACATTGGCAACCACAATTGGTAAATATATGGAAAAAATTTTATATTGCGAATTTTAATTATAAGCGCCTTAGAAATAGGTACCTAAACTTGTACCTATGCGTTGGTCACTAATTATTATTTGATTATATGTATTTTTAGTAGGAAGATAAACTCAATCTTTTTAATGTGTTTTGCATGTTGAATGGCAGGCATTACTAATGTATCCTTTGTTTGATTTCATAACTTCTTAATTTCTCAGTATAGTTGTCTCTAATTTTTTAAGAAACTGCTTTAGTTTGCTTTACAATCGTGTAATAAAAGCTCAACGCTACATTGGTTGTCGGGAAAAGTTCCTTTAACTTGGACAGTGATTAAATCACTGAAAACCGAGATACCCTTTAATTGCAGGCAAAAACAGTCAAAGTGCTAGTGTCTTTGATTAACAAGTATATTTCTATTGCTCTACATCTCAGCTCAGCTGGTCTAAAAATAATTGTGTTGCTTATTATTGGCCTAAACTAGAACGCCTGCTTAATACTAGCCTGAATTCTGTTGAAATCAATTAGCTAAAAGAACTTAATGACGCATTAGACAAAAATTACTGTGTGTGACTACCGCCACACAGAATTCGATTTCCAAAACGGGCTTAGGCGTTCTTTGGTGCAGCCTGTCGTGTTAGTCTCGGGCATAAGAGACTGCATGATTTTGATTTGGGTGTATGGAATATACATATGCCTAGTATATATGGAAATATCTTAAAGCAAACATTTCGAATTTTACGTCCGGCATCGCCATTAAGTATTGCATCAGGCGGCTGGCTTCCTGCATGAAACGAAATGTCTTAGCAAGCAAATATGTTATTTTTTAAGATACCACGGGAAAAAGTTTTTCGAAGGTCCTACCCTGGACGCTTTCAATAGCGCCACACCTTTTATGGCGGAGTGTTGTATCTCAATTAACTAATAAAGGGATCGGTATTATTTAAGAACAAGTGACACAAAATCAAGTTAATTTAAGAGCTGAATCACTTGCTACACGATAATGCGACCAAATACGTCAGGAATATGAGGATAGCTTATCTCAAATTTGTTTTTTTTTTTTATTTTTAAGGTTAACGCTTGATATTCAAGTCGGTTCTTGAAAGCAGACTCGTACTGTTGATAACATTTAACATTTGGTTTCACATGGTTACCCTGTACAAGATTCTTTGGAGTTACCCATCGAGTAAAAAAGATAATCATTGCGGTTGAGCCATAGACCAAAACAAGCAGATTAAAAGTTTTTTTTAAAAGGATGTGTTAGCCTATTTTCTATTATACCTACGTCCATACGCCAACAAATCTAGCATATATACGGAGCAGGTAAACACGTTGTTCGTCATTTCATCCGATGCATTAAATATTTCTTGATTGTGCGCTTGACGACAGTATCGACTAAAAAATAGCCTTTGACATAATAAAAACAGGAACAAAAAGCAATGTTTAATCAATCCACCACCAATCATGAAGCCGAACCTGATCAAAAGATGGCCCCTTGGAAAATCATTCTTTGATGGCCCTTCAAAGGGTCCGTTGAAACACCTCTGGTGTCTCCATGAAGAAACGTATTTGAGGTATTTACGTCACCCAGACGAAGCGAGCATGTACGAAGAGAACCACGAAAAGAAATTCAGGACGAACCCCCAAATATTACAGCTATCCTAACAAAACTCTGATCTCTATCCTAGCCTTACGTACTTCTCTGCTTAGTACACCTTTACTGATTAACGCTTCCACCTGGGTCCTGAGGCGCCGCACTTCGTAGTTTTAAAAAGAGCCTTTACCTCAAATAGAAATATCGGAACGCGCAAAATAAGTTAGTCATCTGAGTCATTCAAGACAAGAGTCATTTAAATAGAACTGGGTAAAGGCTGCCTAAATTTTGTCGCGATTCTTCGCTGTTTTGTTTCGCATCGACACAGTAGTGATGTACCATCAACTGGCTGAATACTAACCGCGACCACTATAGTAAAGGCGGTTCTGTGGTTAATAGTGGATGGGTTAGAGACGAACTATGTAACCTTGAAAAGAGATAAATCGATGGGTGTCAACTTTGATTGACAGAAGCACTCTATATACCAGAAATAAGTTGCAATCGTCCTGCTTCACAGGAAACGTCAACATCGGAAAGGTTCGACTGGTTAGGCCACAAAAGCAGATATACTGTCTTAATGGACGCGGTTCGGAACCTATTTTTCAGTCCCCACAGGGCAGCATTGTACACACAGCAACCACAAGATACAATCAAATTGAATAAATGAAAGAACTACATAGTAAAACTGTGCCTAATAGTTGATTTTGAACGTTTGACAAATACTAATATTCTTTTATATTTGAACGTGCTTCTTAAAATAATTTAATATTGCAGACATCGGCATTCCAGAAACGAACGCCATTTCAACAAAATAGCTGTGGTAGACGATGGGAACAGCAGCCGTAACACGACAACCGGAATGATTTTAGCAAGAAAGATTAAACATATGGGTAATTTATAGCTCTCTCCTGTTTACTATTTTGTGGTAGCTTTTTCAGTGCCGTCGCTTCATACAACGGCACACATGCTTCATTGACATATATACATATATATATGTTTTTTTTATAAAAAGATTCAGCAGGGAAAACTCTCCCTGATCTGAAAAATCCTCTGATGTAGCCAAGTTGGGACTGTTTAATCGGCAAGATCCGACATCTCGGCCAAAGATGTGTACGAAGAACTTTATTTCAGTATGTAACCATTTCGAAGTAAGGATTGCATTTGATGTTTTTGCTTTTTACAATATCAGTTAAAGATCATTTCGTTAGCCGGAAGCAGTCCGATTGTACTATTTCAAATGTACCATATGCATGAGTGCCTTCTTGGAATAGAACGCATTACCCAAAAGGCTGCCCGCCCGCTTTTCTTCAAAAACCCTTTTCACATTCCTAATCTTCACCGCATGTAAAAAAAACTGAAGCTGATCATACCCCAACAGTACGCGCTGCCTCCTGGCGGACATAGCTGGGCTGATGAGGCACCTATACTGCTAGTGCTCGCCGTATCCCACTGCATACAAGCGCACCGGAACAACTTGTTTTCATACGCCAAGAATTCTCCTGCTTCTTTAACGAAATTTTGGAGTCTCTATCCGCAAAGGTCGTTATCAGCGCCGCAGATATCATTGCCAGTCATCGAGATCGAGATTCATCATAGAGCTCGAAATATTTTTCTACGAGGAAATGTACCATTTTAAACCGGCGCATTTGATAACTGGCGAGGTTTGATACGTGCAGCGTATCTCGTAGGCCGTATATCTATATAAATTTTTTTCAAAATGAAAAAACGATGACATGAAAAAAGATTAACAAACAATCTCATTATAGCTTATCATTTTCTTTCGAACTCAATTCTCCGGTTTTCGCCCATACTCGAACATACCAAAGGGCTAAAAAGGTAGTCACGACGGTTCTAGGTAGACGAGCCGCTCCTCCATTACCTAAGACTATTTTTTGAAGAACGAGCAAAGCAACGGACTTAGTAGGACTCCGATAATATTAAATATCTATATGTGTTTTAGAGAGTGATGTGACTGAGTATGAATTACTTTTTTTTTAGTTCAACCTTCAAAATAATCAGCGGTCGCGAGGAGGCTAACGGAATCAATGACAGCTACAGGTTGGCTGCCAAAACATAGGTCTTTGAGGACACCCAGGATCCTACAAAGCGTTTCAAGGAATACTCGGCGAACAGAATTGTGATTAAGGAACAACTGATTGACAAAATGAAATTGCTGAAAAGCAGAAATTTTAGTAATCAAATAAAGCAAAAATATTAGTCATTATTCGTTTTAGGACCAGAGGCCTATTTATCTGCGCGATTTCCTACACTGTTGTTGGTGCTGGAAGCAAATGATTTTTGTAAAGGCAGCTGCACAAATAAACCATTATTAGCTTAACTACAAGTTTCCTATCTCAATCTAATATAATAATGATAAAAACCGACATAGACTAGTTCCGCTTAGGGATGGTGAGCGTATGCATTTCATAGAGAAAGAATTTTAAACTAGTTCACCATTTAATGTACAGAGAATATTGTAGCGTATCAAACTCAAATTAACTGTTTTCTTTTACACCTTGCAAATCGTCAACTTATAATTTATATAACTATGCAAGAAATTTTCGTTGGATTTGTGAATGCGATTTCAGCCGAGAGTTTAAGCATGAGTAAAACATTAATAAGTCAGTAAGTGTCGAATTTTTGTTTCATGTATTTCTCTATAATCTAATTCATTGTTTTCGATTTTTCCATCAACCCACAGAGACGCCCCTTCAGTTGTATTTTTTAACCAATAATAAATACACGAACATTGCTTAGGCTAAGTCCTAGGTTTGTTCTGACGCACTGCTAACGAATTAATTTATAAAGCCGTCTCGATTTCTTTGAATGTGGTAAGGTGTGCTTTATTACTTTTGCTGCAAAACAACGCTAGCATAATGATTACTGAGACTGACAGGACTTACGAAAGTATCAGTAATTTCGTGTTTTCGACGCATCATTATGTTTTTAATGGGTTCGTCTGGTCCGATCTGTGAGACGAAGTAGAATAACGGCCGGTATTGTTTGCTAGGGGGACTGGTAATATTGTAAAATATGAACTCAATATTAAGAAAGAAACCACTGTTCAAAATGGTTAAGGGACACTACCTTAATGTATAAAAACATTTGCTTGAAGCAAATTAAATAAATTTATTAAAATCCCGGCCAGCCATTTTGTCCTTTCTTTACGTTCGTCTAAGCTTGGCCTTCGCAATTCATATATGATTAAAGCAATGTTTTAAAAAATCTTTACGTTTTTGGATTTACTCCTAAATTAATAAAATTAAAAGCCTACACTAATTGCAACAGTTCTTTTGTATTCGAACAATAATACATACGTTTGAAGGGAACGATTATGTATTGGTATTCTGTATATGCCTGGTTTTTGTTATCACATAATAAATATAGCATTAAATCAACTAAATACGTCTTTGTATGTATTATACAGGAATAGTATTGGTTAAGAAAATGAGCTGAATTATTTAGGAATAAGATCCGATCTTTTATATAGTTTATTTACAGTTCGAGGGAGTTATCTCTGAGGAAATTCGAGCATAAGCACACTGGCTGACTCGGTTTGACTATCCTTCCATACAAATCCTATAATCCTATAAATGCAGCCTTTTTACAGATTTCTCCGATAGGAGACTTGTTGTCTGCAAAAAATATACAAGTTAAACCAAACTCAACTCATTTTTAACAATATATACCATAATCGCTTACTGGATTGCCTTTCCATTTCCCTTCAAGATATACGCCAGTGATTTTGCGGGAAATGCATAGGCGTTAAGAAAGAGTTAAATGATAATAACACAAAACTCAAAGCCTCGAAATTTAAAAAGTTCACACAGGTTATTATCATTATTATTAATGACCAAAATAGCTAGTACTTCGCCCATTCTGTCCTAGCAGTTGTGATCGAGGGTTTCAGACAAAAATTTAATTTAAGACAAAGTTAGTGCCTTGAATATGCTACGTTGTGGGTCAGTGGTTCATGTAGGCGAACCAGACCATTAACTCGTCTCCTTGAAAAATACATTTAGAAACTCCCCTAGCTTTATTTTACCATTGCACCTATCATCGTTTTAAAATTTAGTCTAAAATATATGTAGAATTTTAAAGCGGTGATAAGTATTTAAACCTGCACGTATAATTCTGTGCATTGAAAATGATGACTTTTATCAAACATACAGAATTTTTTATGAAGACGGGCTCAAACTAGCAATGTGTGGAAGCAGCATTTTGTTCGCGGATAAACACGTGGGAGTACCAAGTAATTTAGATTTATACACCTAGTATGCATCTAAATAATGATTAAAAGGGAACAATCGCCTAGAGCAGATGTTACAGAAAAACCCAATTTTATTAATTAAATATTTATATCAGGTCTTGTTCCACTCATTTGACTCGCAGACAATTCGATACAAACGAAATTAGGACAAGACGTCTAATGGCGCTCGTTCACTGTCTACATTTCGCTACATGGCACATAATTCAGATACATTATCATTAAGTGTCTTGACAGCGTTTTTAAATTTCGTGCTATAAAGATCGTCTGCCCACCTGTTGTTTACATTCGAACACGAAGTCCATACATACACATCATAGTGAGAACAGTGAGAAGAGGAGAACAGTGTCATGATCAAAAAAAATTACGTGTTACTGTCATTGATGTAAATTACACGTTTTAGATGTCTCGTATAAAATGACGATGAGATATATGTATAAAAGGCCGTTGTTGCGAAGCTTCAAAGGAATCACACTCTGCAAATGGAATGGTGCAATCAGCTGAACTGATTTTCCATATGCATGTTTCTGTTAAAAGAGTAGTATAATGTGATTCTCAAATACTATATATACATACATATACTATATTTCTTTGCTAATATAATGGATTTAACACTAAACTTTAAGTCACTTGTAAAAACCCTACGCTCTCGAAGCAAAGCGCTTGACAACAACAATGATAGCCATCTTAATCGGTCAACGCCTCGGGACCAGCGTGAAACACGCTTTAATAAAAATGTCAAAGATATCATAGGGGCTATTTCAAAGATGAAGTCATTCCTTTTAGCTCATCGCAAGGATTATATCGATCAACATTTTATTATGTACAATGTTTCAAAGATGAGTGACATCGAGCGTGAAGAAATCGACCAGGTCACCCAGAAGTTTATAGTAAAATATAAACAAATAATTGCCCAACTCCGTAAGGAGATCAATACATCGGCAACTACTCCTCAGCAGGCTGAACATCAAACATTCGTAATAGCAATGACTGAAGGCTACCTTCGATTTGTTGGAAGAATCTGGTCCGAGCAACGATCGCTTCGAATGAAACGAGATAGCAAAATGCGCGCGTTTGGCTCATTGACAGGAAATCATCTTGTTAAAAAATTGGCAGGAACAGCAGTAGAAGGAAGTAATGAAATAGAAAGTGCCTACGAAGAACTGAGCAAAACTTTTTCTAAGAGAGTAAGTCACGATACGGATAGTCCTGAAACTAAAGTTGTTTTCAAAGAACCCTGTGACCTCACTGATACGGAGACATCATATCCTAATGACGAGCAAAACGCACTTAATGAGTTTCGTTCTGTCAGAATCACTTCGGAGGATGTCCAGGTTTGTTTGCATTAATACGTGTTCATTTAAGCGCTCCTAATATCTTTGATGTGTATTTCTATCGCAAAATTTATATATACTAGACGCTGCATGCTGATCCTCATTTCCAAAGAAAATAAGGCAGACTGCACTTTTTTTCAGTTACTAAAAACGTGAGAAAAGTTTTGCCTATTAACTTTTCTATTCATTGAGCAATTTGAGAGGTACCAATGACAGTCCAACAGTGACAGTTATTTGCTAGGATTTTAAAGATAGTATTTTACCCGTTTCGTCCGCCTCGATACATCTTTTTAGAATTTCCATGGATTGTTATATTAGACGGTTCTTTGTGTGCCTATGGTATTTATTAAATGGTGTACCATTAAACGTGATCTTCTTTTGACTAAACCCTTATTTGTATAGCTATCAAACTCTACGGTTACTATTTTTTAGTAGTAGTTGGTATTTTAAACGATTTCAGTTCTATCTTCTGTCACACCTTGATGTTTACAGATGCTTGAACAGGAAAACACACGTTTGTACGACGAGCTCAATTCGATGGCGGAACAAGTGAAGCAGATAGAGGGCCGAGTGGCGGAGATCTCTGAACTGCAAAAGGAATTCACGGAGAAAGTAATTGAACAAGAGGACGATGTGAAAAGAATCGCTAGCACTATGTTTGCTGCGACCGAGAATGTAAAAGGCGCTAACGAGCAACTCCGTCAGGCGATGCAGAGCCACGCAGGCCTTCGTGTAGCAATTTTATTTTCCCTTATTGTTCTTAGCTGTTCGTTACTCTTTCTAGATTGGTATAACCCTTGAAAGGTGGAAGTATTTGTACAAGCAAGGGTCTAATAACTAATGTCGGCGGCGTTACTATGACAAGCCATGTAATAAAGTGTGAGAGCTATTTTTAATTAAGCGGTAATGCACCGCTGTATATCGATTTAATAAATAATGTTGAGTATAAATTGTTTCATATTTTTTGTAATATAAGCTATTTAATTTATTGGGATTTCATACGCAATCTGATCTCCGTCATGTGCTACCATAACACACAATATATACGCCTAAATTCTTATTTCTTGGAGTAGCATAAATTACAACTAAAAGGTAAATACTACGGGATTGAATAGATTTCCGTTAATATTAGTGCGGGAAAAGTAAAAAAAAAACACCGGGTACATTCACAGGACCTTACAGCAAGTTCTGTACATTCTTGTATTTTTCAATTAGCGGCTTCAGATGAACGAACCGATATATCTTATTAAATCTATCAAGCATTAATTTAGAATGTTTATTTGCTGAAAAAAGATAATATATTGATTAGCACCTTAAAGTCATTGTTTTTATTCACAATTGAACTTTTAGGGTACATTCTGTGGGTTACGCTGTCTTTTTTTTAAGAAATCAATGTGGAAAGCTCGTTCAAGGACGCCGGGCTTCGCATCTAGACACATTCCACCGTAGTGTAATATTTTAGCCAGCATTTACTAGCTCCATCAGTACCCACTAAATTTACGTTCCTCTGCTCCTAGTTCTGGATCGGTGCTTATTTTTATTAACTATGTTGACCCCAACTGGGTCCACCTTTTTATTCAGTTCAGGTTTCAAGAATACTCTTCTTCGTCTGTGTTTTGCTTGTTCTCATTTTTTTTGAGTGTTTTCATTATCTTCGTCATACACTTAGATATTGCGATCCAGTTCTCTTCACTCATCTTCTTAAGCATGTTAAGCATGCACTTCACATGAGCGTCGGTTTTAAATGGGCATCTTAGTTGCTTTAAACTTTTGCTTTTCTCCCTCGAACCGCATATAGTGCTCCAGTGCGTAGGCCATGGAGCCGCATATGCGAGTGTTGTACTTGATGCACAACCTACTTAACGCTTTTTCCATTCGATAAAGATATGTATAAGACAGCCATGGTCAGAGATGATTCGAATCATGTAGTTGCTCACTTTTACAAAATCTTTGCGCCACTTTAGATAGTACTGCTCATTGTGCTTTTTCACCCTGTTGCAGTTTTTGAAAAGGGTATTCTCGTTAACCTTCTCTCAGTGAAACGTCTAATCTTTAGGCCATACTTTCTGCCCAAATGAAAGTACTATAAGGAATTATGGAATCTGCCACTAAAATAACTTCCTTCTTTTTTCATCTGGTTCCCTGACTTTCGACATTAGCTTACTAGGCCCTGTGCTGTCAAGGCCGTGTTCTTCATAATCTCTCTTGATATTATACAGAGTTAGGGGTCGATTTAGCCTCATTTCCATGTTGCGAGCTGTCCGCATTGATTGGGCTATGTGATTTTTCAGGTCGCTGTTAAGGCTCTTGCACTTTTTCCATCTGCCAATGGATACTATGGCTTATGTTTTTCAGAGGCTACTTATATTTCCTTTGTTCTTTTGCTCCATCTCCTTTCGGACAAAGATCACCAAATCATTCTCTCGGCTGCAGTGGCTCGCTCTTTTCAGTATATCTATGCTAACCTAAGCACTCCGTTGTAGACAAAGCTTCTGCATTGGCTCCGAGATAGGCCCTATGGGCCCGTTGCTTCATAGCTAATACCATTCTCCGTTCGGATTTTTGTCTCACTTGATAGCCATCCATGATGTATCGGACATACGGAAATATTCTTTCTACCGTATTCAAAATCATATCTCAATTCATCGAGTTCAAGGCATTTCTTACGCCCAAAAGAGAAGCCAAATAGAAATCCCTGGATTTCGATGTTTTTCCCGTCACTTTTAGCTATGGCTAAGAAAGTCGCTTGACTCTTTTAAAACCTGAATTGGTTTCCTGCAAGCGTTCCCTTTTTCTCCAGCTTTCTCACCAGTTTTTTCCTGATGAGGAATTTGAATGTATTACTTAATGCTCAAGAGGCTGAGTCATTTTTATGATCTCGAACGTCCAATTAGTTCCTCAGAATTTGTGCGATAATTCCAGCCTCTTTTCACTCTTCGTTTAGTTTAATGGCCATTTGTCGGAGGGCTTCCGGTTGATTGGCAGCAAGTACTTTTTAGCCTCCAATAGCATACCATTCAGTTTCACGGCGTTCTCCACTACCCACCTACTCACCTCCATAGCTTTATTGAGTACTGACCTGTTCGTCCTTGATGAATCGGAAACAGTTTTTCAACTGTTTTGGTGTAAATAAACAATTTTATTTTAAAGCTTGGGGGCACGCTCTCGCAAGTGTACCATGAAATATCTTCTAGCCTTTTTTCTACAGATCTCACTTCTTTTACAAACCCGTTCTCTCCGCTTAATTTCTTGAAGTATAGTGGTTACGGCTTTCGCAAACTTTACGAAGTTGCTTCGTTAAAGCCCTTTGCTAGTTTGGTACAAGCCCTTGTGGTTTTGCTATAATTTTTTTTTGGTTCGCACGACGGTTCGATCCACCGGTACGTGGGCTTACGTTTTGCTTTGGGATGTGCTAAAACCTTCACAATCTAGCAAGCGGTCGTCAGTATCTCCATCGCGTTTTCGTTTTTAGAGGCGTTTTCGGACGAACGGCAGGCCTTTGATGAAATTTAGACACCGGCAAGTCAAGATCGGTTCTTCTGCATTGCCTCATTGTTAACTTCTTTCAGAACAAAATATGTCTGATGAAATAAATGGGTCTGGTCATCTACACTAGATATACCCTTTATACTTTAGGTAAGAGGTAAAGGCTAACTTTAAAACTATGTTTTTTTTAAAGGACCTTAGCAATGAAATTTTCGCAAAAGTATGCTACTAAACGATCTGGTTTGTTGTCGTCAAACGCTAGGGGAAGCTGGAGAGGATTAAGCTGTCAGTTAACCATTGAAGGTAATCTTTGCTACGTTGTGTTGTAATAATTGCTTAATATGTTTTAGCCATTTACTTGTAGCTGTTACTTCCTTATGTTCTTAAACCTTTGTACTAATTTTTTTACACTTAGTGTCTGTGTTAGAGTGTTTCTTCTACATAATGCAACGGATACTATATCTTTGAATAACACGTCAAGTTTGAACCGTATCAACTATTATTCAGACGCTTCCCTCTCTAGATTCTTTATGATATACAAATACGCCTAATAAAAACAAATATATTTGATTTTTATGAAAGCATATTTACAACATTTCCCCTGCCATAATATAGTCATAAATTTATTCATAATTTGCTTTTTTTAATACTACATCCATGCTTTCATTTGTACATTACTTCATGCAGGCTACATTTTTTAATAGCCTTGTAGTATCTATCATCCACAAGAATAACACCTGCATCTTCACACCTCTACTATAATTCGTTTATAGATATTCCTTTCATTACTGCTCGTGGCGATACGTGACGACAGCTCGTACTGAGCTTCAATCATTTTGCTTAATTTAACAGTTATATTTATTATACACCAAGCGATAGCTTCGTTATTTAGTAAACCATGAAAGTGAACTATTCCACAGCCTTTCATCATGACACTGCTATGTGGTGCGACTGTAACTTCCATCCACCTGATCTAATCCGATTTAGACTTGAAGCGTTTTTGACTTTAGGGCCAACAAAAAAAGATAACTGCTCACTTAATGATACTAATCCATCGCGCAGTTTCACCTAATTATTAGCTACCCATCGCAGTTTAGCCACCACGGACTTTTCCGGATGAACGAACTGACATCCCAGTGCCTGACACCGTAAGCCAAATTTGCATGGCTGCAAAGATAAAACAAATATTGACTTTGTTAGTTGCATCCCACATAATTAAAATGATACTTCAAGAATAGTCACAGGTACCGAAGGCCTGTCCACTTTTTTTTGGCTGAAACACGGTTAAAATATAGGGCATTATAACCCAGGCTAGTTATTAAATTAGGGTTAAATTACTTTAGCGAATATTTAAAGAAATCTCGTTTGGACGCAAAAAAATACGTCGTAACATTGGACGTTGAATGAATGGCTACTTATCTCTAGCTAAAAACCTTGGCAGTCTCTCATTGGCCAAGTTGGGTTAACGATACACGGAAATAAATTTTAACACTGTTTTTGCGAAATAACTATTTTATCGTTTTTATGCTCCCTCGCTTTCAAAAAAAGAACTTTGACCGTTCTACTTACTTAAAGCTATATTTGCCTCATAGAACTCTTCGAACTTGAATCGTCATTTCTCTTTAGATAAAGGCCGTGAATAATTCTAGATGGCAAGCACCACGTGGCGACGCACAAAGGTTTATTAAAGAATTTTAAATTACATGCGACTTACTATAGCCGGATGAAAAAAGGGGCATGTTGAGTTTGTGCAGTTCGGGAAAAATTTACATGGGGTCGGTTTACCAGTCTCATTGGCTGTGAACACTGAAAATAGAAATAAGGATACATCACGCATAGAAATGACTTAAGTAGGTATATATAATGTGCGCAATTCAGTTAGATTCGAAACTTTGTTTGACTAGGTTTCGAATTTACTGACTGACTATAACTTAGACTAGGGTTAAAAAGTAACATTTCAATCACCAACATAGATTATTTGTTGATTCATTTTAAGTACCCCAAATTTATAATGTATATTTAAGCCATTTTGTCAAACAGTTCGTCACGTAAAATTAACGTTTGCTGTCCGCGTTTTATGCTTCTTACTGGGTACTCGCGGGCAGTAAGGCAGAATTTTTTTGTCAAAAAGGCTCTTTAAAATATTAATTTTCATAGCTGCCTCAAAAATGTATTATTAAAACAAACACCGAATTGTTAATATTGTTTTAGTCGCATGTAAGTGTATTTAATTTTGTGGTCGAAAATACAGCTTAAAATATTATGAAATTATGTTATACATCAACTACTTAATAACTTGTACATGTTACAATCCAGATGCCTTGCGTAGCCATGAAAAATATTCAAGTTAAGATTATTATTTGTGTAAGTGTCGATTTCATTGACAATTGTTTGTAGCACCCACAAATTAAGAGCACCCATAAACAATTAAGAGAAAATAGACAACAACAGAGCTGACCTTTAATTATTACAAACCTCTCTTGAAACTTCACTGTATCACTTCGAAGCACCTTGAATTTCGATTTTCTTTTAATCAGGTTTCATTTTGTTCCAGTTTTTGATAGCATATGCATGCCATCATAAATGGCTAATAATTTTAAACTCACCTGGTAAGGGAGACCTACCATCTTCACTGTGAGCGTAGAGACAGTTAGGGTTTGTGCAGCCGTGATTAAATTTGCACGGTGGATGCCGATATAAACAGCTAGCTGCTGGGAGACCGCAAAGTGGAAATGAGCTGCACAACTGGCCCGGATGTGTGAATCTATTAGAAGATAGAATACATTTAAGAAGTAACATTAACACATACACGTAATCGATATTTATTTTAGCCATTGATCATAGTGTCAGCAGTACACGTATGGTAGTCCTTATGCTCAGTTTACCTGCAAATAGTATTGGTGCAGACAGGATCGAACCGGCAGCGTTGTCTTCTGCGGACATTCGCACTTGACATCGGTACATTTGCGTTAACGCCAGATGCCAAGAGAGCCGATTTAGGAACCAAATCATCCAGAGCTAAGTAAGCGAGGTTTGAAAACGAGGTGAATAAACACGTTGAATTAACTTAGAATTTCTTGTTAATACGTTTAATAGATACTGCTTATTGAGCCTGAACAAGTATCTTGGATTTAAATACCAAGTTAAGGGCAGTTCTCTGTAAAGACGCCTGCCAAATATTTGGTATTTCTTGCAACTCTCCTTTTTAAGAACGAATAGATGAAAAGTTCAATACTTTGTAATAATAAACGGGTATGTTGCAATGTCATGAGCAGTTATTTATAACAAAAGCCAAGATAATCAAAAGTACACTAACACTGGAGAGGAATTTTTTCAGCTATAACAGATTTCGATTTGCGGAGTGCTACAGTAGTACCGGTGCCTTGGTTAGGCGCCTTGTCGGAATGTGCATCCAGATCGGCTCCAGGTAGAGGTTTTGCTGCTGCTTCTTCTTTTGTTGGATTCATTTTTATCGCCAATGCTGTGTTCACGTTCACACCACATGCTGCCAATAAAGGACTTGGCTTTACAATCATACCTGTATTCAGAAACACCAAAACCAGTAGTACAAAACCTTATCAACTGAAGAGATATCAAGAAGGAGTCTCTTATTTATAATTCTACTTTTGTTCTTAATTATATGATTATCCCTACTTCTGCATACAGTTGAAGCGGTAGGTTCCTGAACGAGAATCCAGAACCGACATGTTGAAAAATTCAGTTATGAATTTTATGAACTTAAAAAAATATATATATTTTTTAAATTACTTATTTTTTATTTTTTAAATTTACATGTATTTTTTTGTTTTTAAAAATATTTTTAAAAAATCTGCCTTTTCGAGTGCAACGGATTTAAAGATAAGTAGCTAACGCGATACATAGAGTTTCTGAAAGCAAAAATACTGGTTTCAGTGACAGTGGTATGGTTTATTGCTTATCCGGGAATGTGGAATAGACAACTTTAAATCGGACTGTTAAAATAGAAAATATTTAAGATGCACTAAGTACTCTACTAAACCCAGGTTAAGTGCAGGATTATCTATGGAGCCATAATGAAAAAAATTGACTTACTAACCATTCCTCATAATTACATTATCATCTTTCTCTTCACCGTATTCATTCTGCTGCAGTTTCTCAGGGGAGGATGATTTCACCAAAGGAAGTGTGACGGCTGTTGGCTTGCCACCTGTGACGTTCACTGCGTTAACGCCGTCGGATTCAACTGGACCAGTTACTTCCGTCGCCTTTGGTGCCACTTGAACACCATCTGAAGTAGCCGGGCGGAAAACATTACTTATTTCAGACTATGCCTTGTATAGGAAAATTACCGAGCTTAATTGGGTGGTTTCGCCGACGATCAAATATCTTCTTATTTTAATTATTAATTAAAAAACACATGGCAACCTGTATTTCTTAGATAACAATGGCGAAAAGGATATTCCTACTGGACCGAAAACTTACTAAAATCCCACCTATAGTTAATATTTAATTGAAAATGTATGTACTTTGAGATAACTTTTGCGGATTTTTTTCTCCTCATTTTTTATTTTCAAAAACGCGCTACTACCTAAGCAGATATATATGTGTAAGAAGCATTAAGAAAATTAGTTTTCCATAGGCCTGGCCAGCTTGAATAAATGCTCAATGAATCATATCTAAGAAAAAAATATTTCATCCAATTGCTTACGTTATGTTCTACAAGTTTCCAACCGGAAAAAGGCGCAAGTAAGTGTCAAGTGATGATTAATCCTTAAGAGTATAAGAATACTCTTAAAATTGTAATATAATTTTTACATAATAATTTCCCATAAATACAAGAAAAAGACGCATGATAAGTTATATCAGTTAAGATACGTACTTTGTACCAATATGTACCTCATACCAGTCACCATCAAATATTTCTTATGTCACATTGAAGCGCAAACATCTCCTAAAAAATGGGTTACTAAGATACACTGATTGCTTGTATGGCTTTTCCGACAAACATGCTCGAATGGTATTTAGACTATGACCCTTAATATGAACTGAAAAAAGGAGTTATTTGAATTACCTTTAACAAATCGGTACTATATATTGAAAACAGATCTCAGTTGCCCGAGGATGGTAATTAGCGCATTTAAAACGAAATTCAATACCCAAAGCACTATAAACATGTTTGGGATATCAGTGTATTTCCAAGCATCATAGAGCTCAGAAATTTTCCAGTTACCAGGAGACTCCTCACACCTAGCTCTCACACCTAGCTTTCACGTTTTTACGAGTTATAAAATTGAAATTAGAAGAATACATTTATACGTGGTCTTTGTCATAATCGACATACGTTCACCCGTTATTCTTTGCACTAAAAGAAATTAAGTTATCTCAATAGCAACGCCACAAATTCATTACAGAAGGGGCAATAGGTTCGTTTTACGGATATGAGTAAAAATAAGATACTACTCAGTATTTCCGCACTGTAGGAACTCCTATCAAGGTTGTGGACTCTCCTGAATATTATAAATAGTCCCTAAAACTGTGAGAAACGCTGTTGTTAGTCTATATACTAATAATAAGAAATTTAATATGACAAAGTGAAAGATCTACGACAAGAAAATGATTCTAGCCAAAATTTCACAAAAAAAAATAAAGAAATGCATATCTGGTAGTACTGGTGCCTTGATTTAGTATTTTAAAACTATTTTCGAAAACGTACGTGCCGAATAATTACTGGGGTTTTCGGGGTTACTTTCTATATCGTAAAAGTCAGATATTAAGGACAGATCATCTGGCCGCCTTCAGTTCTGCACCAAAGAACCAGTATCATTACCGCTAGTGCAAAATTTAGAGGAATCAACATCGTTAATTCGTTTACTACTCCAAACGTGAAGTTTTAATCTTGTCTAAGGTCCAATGGCTTATGCGGAACATAACCTTATGAAGTGACTTTATTTTAGTAGACTATCAAATAAATTGTCTCCGACACGCGGATCAACACTGTGAAAACATTGAATCAATATGTCCATGAAGGACGGTTTTAACAGTATATAAATACTTTGAGTATATGAAGTTTTTATGCAAATTCCTTTAAAAAAAAATCTTTCACCGAGAAATTCGACCACCAGCAAGAGAACGTTGATTTTAAATTTGAATGCTGTTAAACTTCAATAATTTTCCCAATGAGCATGGATCAGGAATGTAATGCGATTCGCATTACTGGAGTTTCTTGTTTGATTAAGCTCCAAAATTGGGATTGCATACAACACCTGCGCATTTATGCCGCATTTCACTAAACCTTTGTTGAACGACGAAAAAGATAATTAAAAAAATTATAACGCATCGTCTTTTTTTGCCTTAATCGTAGCTCCTCCAAAAAAAAGTACATTTGCCTTTTAACTTTGTTGAATGACCATTTTTTTAGCACGAAATCATTAGTAGCCGATATAGTCCCACCTTTGGTCCATATAACATCACCTTGTGGGTTTGTCTGCCTTCATATATTTTCTCGCTTTCGATATATATTTTCTCAGAAGTGAATAAATTTCAGTGAGCCAATTTGGTCCACATAATAGAAGACTCTTTGACGAAGATATGTAAGTTTTTCTTTCGTACCAACAGTTATGTTCAACAACCACGTTAAGCAAATTTTGTTCCATATAGCCCCAGTCTCTTCTAGTATTTTCTGTATCCAAGGGTGTTTTTTTATATCATGATGATATTTAAGTTATGACAAATTATATTTAAAACTCACTAGTGATTCCTTTTTTTTTGCTTTCAGAAGTCTGAGGGACCAGTTAGCCCTTTTAGGTATAGGTAGCTGCCATTGAATGTTGGTTCTGTTAATCGAAATATAACGATATATAACGATGACCAACGAGATACTATTTTAATGTAGTTAACTGAGTAACATCTTCGCAACAACAAATATGTAAGATTGTAGAACATAATAAGATAACGAGGCTTCTAGTACACTTAGGTTAACTTACTTTTATTAGTAACGACCATCTTCTTTCGTAGTGCTGTTACGGGTTGACTGCCGTCCGAATCCACCGCCAATATGGTACCTTTCTCTTCGGATTTCTGAGATGATGATACTACAGCTGGTGATGAAGATGCAGTAGCAGCAGCCGCTGCTGCAGATGTTGAAATTTGTTGATTAATATGTTCGCCTTTGACGCCGCTAGTTACTGCAACGGCATTGCTGTTTCGTATCAAAGATAACCTAAAATTAATTTTATAAATGAACATTTTGTAACTTTGAGAGTACATATATAAATTAAGTGCCACATTTAAACTAGAACTTACATAGTAGCATATGCTGTACAGCCCCTGATCTGAAGATAAGCCATGTTCATTTGATAATCCAATATTAGGACAGCTAAAGACATTCGAGTTCGAAAGTTGTCTTGTCAAGGTGGGTAAAAATAATTAACTCAATGTGGGCGAACCCAATGTATAAATTAATCTGTAACATTAGTAGTTGTTTGAAGTGTTAACATCTGCATATTTCCTAGTGCAGCTGACAATTATAAAAAACTGTTGTAGGGTTTTAGAAGAACAATATAGTAGGAAGCAAACATCTAAAAAAGCTGATTTTCATCTAATTGGCATTTCCCAATATATACGTTACAGCACAAGTATCCTTTTTATCATAATTTTTTAACTCTATTTTTTCTTCAATCATCTTTCCCCATTTGCAATGCAAATAGAATTAGTCTAATACGATAATCACTCCTTAATGAATAACAGCGGCCGTGCACCATCCAATAACAAGAGTAGTTCTCACCGTAAATCTTCTAATTCAACTTCTTTATCAGCATCAAGAGCAGTTCTATCGATATCGCTTGGTATCCGTTTCATGGTGACGATGATTCGAGGCCCTGGACCACGTTCTGCATTTGTAGCTTCTCCCCCACTTACTTCCAAATCATTAGAAGCCCTATAACAAAACAGTTGCCAAGGGATATTAACAAAGCATTATTTATTCCTCTAGGAAGCCATAATACACGGGAAGGTTTTTGCTCTGAGTAGTAGTGCATTTTCTTCTTGAGATATTGTTTCTGTCTGAGTTAAGTTTATTCCCACAAATTATCTTTCAACAAAAAATTGTGTACGAGTCTCAAAGCATAATGAATGTAACATAATGTCTCTGTGGAATAAAGTTAGCAAATCCACGTATCCCATTATAGTAGATTGGTGAGTATAAATTTCAGAAAGCAATATTTTATCATACACATTTTCATATAAACTAAATTTTAGTCAAAAGATGCTTGACAATAGAATATAAGCCTATTTTTTTACGGTAGTGGAATAAATAAGTCGCTATTGGATGGACTGAGTTCATTGAAAGCGTGAGTATATTTCAACTAAACATTAAAAAAAGGTGATTTTTAGACCCTTTAAATTCGTAGAAAAATTGTCCAAATTATGAAAGCAAGACCCGGAGAATTTGAGATTTTTCATTTTTATTTGTCTAATTAATTTCTGGTTTCTTAGCTACAGCCGTTGTTTCAAGGAGGAGGTCTACGTTTGCTATATAATTCGCATATATACTTTGTGCGCTAGTTCACCGTTATAGAATGAACTGATTCAAGTAACAAAAAAAAACGTACAACAAGAAAAAAACAGTAAATGTAGCGGCGGAAAATAGTACGCTATTGGTAAATGTAGATTAGAGCTATTTTACAAAAGTCCATACTAAATGGTGTACATAGAAGAAAAAGGTTCATTATAAAATATTTTAACTTACATGTTTTCATCGTCATCGTCATCATCTGCTAAACTTGGCGGCATTTCTCTTCGACGTTTCACTTCTGCCACTCTATCGTCATAATAACAAATACAATGTTTATTAGTTTCTTTCGTAAGTGAATGGCCTAGCAACAAGGTAAATATGATTATTATCAGCATTATAAAAGCCGATCGCACTTACAGTCGTAGTACAAGTGACGATAAAAATGACAAAACATTTTTTTACCTAGCGGCGATAGCATCCGTAACGTAAGCTCCAAGTCGGTCCTGAATACTTCTTTTCGCTGGTCCAGCGCGTTCATCAGGTCTCCGGCCAACAACCATTAAGGACTCCTTAATCAGCAAACCAATTTCATCGAAGTTAGTATGTTTCAATCAATTTAGCGATACAGATAAACGTTCCAAGGTTTACAAGCCTACTCTTATAAACTAATGCCTTAGATTGGCTACATGCTAAGATATGACTGAACCTAATCAAGTCAAATAAAGTATAAGTTTTAATATTAAATATAGTTTTATGGCAGTGTTTTACTTTTCGAACGATATTATACGTTTGTCCTCACCGAGCAACGGCTAAGTTTTGCTAAGAAACAAGCGACTTCTATTCTAATTACTTTAGTTAAAAGGATATATGTTAGCTCAATAACTAATTACCATTTGTCGGGTTGTGGCCGAAGCGGTACTTCTATTCGCATCCTGCAGCGCTTTGGCGAGAATTTTATTTTTTTCGAGATGATCTTTATCAACAAAAACTCTCTTTCGCGGTGCCACGGTAGCGACAGAACGCAACTGAGGTCTCGAGGGATCATACTCTGCTTCATCTTCGCAATCCGAGGAGCTCGCTAAAAATTGAGTTGAAAGTACGACATAAAAATGCCTAAGTTACTGTTTTTGTTTTTACAGTTGGATTTTAATTATACGCATTTATACAGGTAGGTAATTATATTTTTTTAGTGTACTAGGTTTCGATTCAGTGAAGTTCGTATCATATGCAGAGTTACCGTCATTTGTAACGACTGCCCCAATCGTTGACGTTAAGCGGCCCTTTATAGGCACCGGAGGCCGTTTGGTTTCTTCCTTCTCGTTTTCGATTGTGCGCTCGATGCGAACTTCAGGACTCTTCTTCGACACCTCTTGTGTTCCCGGCGCCTTGCTTTTCCGAGAACTAAACTGCGTGATCGGTAGCTTTCATGCAAAAAAAACCCATTAAACATAGTACCGAAAGCAGTGTTTTTGCATACACACCTGGCTAGCTGAGCATGTTCATGTTGTTATTGAAATATGCATGTCTATGTAGTGCATGTCGATGGCGAGTATATATAGTGATGGGCACAAAGTCATTAGCTGATAATTGATCAAATTCAAACCTTTTTTCTATCCCCTTCGTCCCTCCTATCCTTTCGGTCATCAGTATTTCCTTTTCGTTCGGCTCGGCCTCGTTGTCGTGGCTCAACTTTATCCCTAGTAACTTTTTCTCGTTCCTTTCGATCATGGTCTCTCCCGTAATCCTTGGAAGAGTTCTGAGGTCGTGTCATTGTCGGAGAAATGACTCTGGATCGCCTAGAAGCTGACGAGCTTCCGCTGCCTCGAGTCCTTTCAGGACTTCGAATATGTTTAATTGAACTGGAATTGCTGCTTGTGTGTACTCTGTCACGGCTGCTGTCCACCTCGATTCGCTTGCGACTGCTTACACTGCTCGATTCGCTTTTGCCATCTCCGCAACCTCGTGACGCTTCCTTTCGCTTTACCTAAATGTTTGTATGTTTGCACAACATGTTACACTAGGTGCAATCATTTTAATCGATCATCTTCTTTGCGTTGTAAAGGTAAAAACAGCTAAGGAAATCTTTAAATCGTGAGTTATTTAATTTAAGCAAATTAAGCTTCGGACATACATGTATGGTAATAAATAAAACGCCAATGCTTTAGCCTCCTGGTCACTTAACCACATTTCCGATGTAAACACGAATTTGTCTCATCATTTTTATTTAAAGCTGACACCGCCGATACTACTAGGGTAGCTGGATTAATATAGCAAATATCTAGCATTATGAGTTCTAAAGATTGGTCAAGATTGGTTCAAAATATAGATTGTCTTGATGACAGTCTCGAAGCGATGCGTCATGCATAACTACATTAATTCTAAAAATTGTGTATTTTTGTGAGGGTAGTAGCAATATAATGGCGTAGAGACCGAAGATCAGCAGGCGCTGTTTGACCGCTTACATGGTTGGTTTTAGTTTAGAGTTCAACGAGAAATTCTTGCAAATGGAAAGAAGGCCCTTAAGCCAATATATATTGATGAGGGGTATCAAATGCCATTACTAGGCCCACATGAAAACTTCTCGCTATAAAAATCATTTTTTCAAATAGATATCTATGCTGATACCACTGATTAGCTATTAATAAAACACAGCACCTTCATAGCGAGGTGATTTGGTCATTACTCTTCATTCATTCACATGTTTACGACATAATCCAAAAAAAATCCTTGACCAATCTTTGCACGTAAATACCTTGAGAGATAGACGTTTGAGACATTGACACAGCTAGCCAGGTACTGATATATATGGAAATAATACGGAAGTCAGCCAATCATAAAAAAATTAGCCAAATAGAATATTTAAAAATGTGGAGTCCTCCTGTAAGCTTAAGTGTTAGAAATGTTTTCTAACGGACAAATTACCTTCTTTTACATCATTACAAAGTCGTTAAGTTTTAAAGAACGCAATTTCAAATTCCTTTTGATATTAATAAATTCTGGCCGCATTTAATTTCATAAAATAGATACTAAATGTGTGCAGTAAGAATGGTTAAACATTACAACTGCTATTATGTACCAGAAATGCCGTGACATTGCGTCAATATCTATAAAACCATTTATATCGGTTGAAGCTAGCAAAAATGCATAACCCAAATGATGACTGGATACTATTACAAATAAATATACATCTGTAATCCATGAGAAAAATCTTCAGTATGGGTGCGTATGTTCGCCAAGCCTAATTCTATAAAAAAAAATCTAGGCAATATAAATCCTCCAAGACCGTTCACGAATTTAAGGTAATTGCAACTATAAAAAGAGACAAAATGAAGCAAACTTAGTTCTAAGAGATAACAAACCTCTTTAGTAACCTCATCTACACGTTCACGTAATTTCTTTTTGGTGCGTTCCTCGATTTTCTTGAGCGGGCTTCGAGATCGAGAACGTCGGGACTCTCTTTTTTTGGTGTTTTCGACATTATTCTGTACAGAGAAATTATAAGATTCCGCAACCAAGTTTCTTCTTTAATACATGAATTCAGTTTTTCATTGTCTTTTAATTAATATATATACGTTAGACAAGTAATAGATAACATGTGCGACGTCACCAATCGACTTTTATACGCAGAGCGGCGGGAAAAATAAATAAGAAAATCAAGTCGATACATACAAAAACTGAAGTAAAATTATTTCATGCATATTTAAGGAGATTAAAGAAAATCAATTAATATTTTATCTGATCTTCTTTTTTGAATTGTTGACTCTTGACTCTTCTTTATTGATTCTCAAGCTATCCCACTAAGTTTCGTCTCAAATACCAAACATAAATACGAACCTTAGTTTCCGCTTCTTCGAATTCTCTTTTCTCATCAACGTCAAGATGAAGCGCTACTTCATCGCCCGACACAAATGATCCAGGGGGAGCGGGTCGTTCTTTATCCTTCCATCGATGCACCTTATCTTTTTCTTTAGTTTTTGAAGATTTACTTTTCTCCTCGAATAAATCAATCTTGTGTTTTCCTTCTCGGGCAAACCTATAATACAGGCATAAAAGTGGTACATATAGGATCAAAATACTTCGATCTTATTATCCTAGCCAAATATCAGTTGAGTCTATATAAACTAAAGTCAATGTTATACAATTTTTTCTCGTTCCTTTTTAATCTTTATCGCTTTAGTTGAGTTATTTCGGTTCTCGCTGCTGGAACGGATTTTTCATTGGATCAGTGCATATACACTGTATAGGCACTTGTATTTTATAGGACGTTCGCATTAACCGTAGGATCAGCTTTATAATACCTCTGCAGATGATCGAGTACTTGGTGAAGCCAATCGCAAAATCCGCCGCAATATTCACCGAGAAAGAGTTCTAGATCAGCTTTCATCTGATCCTTTGACTTTTTGTTTGCAATCATCACCATTACGTAATCTGGAAGCTCGTCATCTGAAATAGCCGTGAAAAAGCATGCGAACTAATAATGTTAAGAGATTATCTTTTTCAATTTTGAGTGCCTTTGGTAAAAACTATCTGTAAACATTCTTAGCCTTAATTACATTTGTCTCCTTTTTAGTCAATTTGCGCATGCAGTAAACTTCCCCGAGGTATTTTGCTAGGCTCTTGTGGACATCAAAAAGATTCAAAAGGCGAACGAAACTCAAAATTGAAAAAAGAAAACTTGAGAGATTCATTCAAGACATGGTCAGCTTGACTACATTAATGCGTGCCGTGCTTATATCCTCGTGCATGACGATTAAAATATTCCACCAGCAAATATATACACATTTAACTTTTCAAGTGTAAAACCCATCCGTCTTAGCTATGATTTTTATTTGGTCACAAACACATTATGCGTACTTTTCACTACACAGCATGTTTTACACTTCCCGCCAACCTTTCTATATACCTAAACACTTCTGAACTAGCACAAACGATTGTAAATTCGTCACTTACCGACATAGCAGCCGATGTCAACGAGCTTCGATTTAATCGCATTCTGGAAATCGGAAATTGTTACCAAAAAACAATGATTATACTTCTGCAATAGATTAGGTTTTTACTTTCACCCCGTTTGAAATGCACTTTTTTATGAATACGCTGTATATGCAATCCTCATAAATGAAAATTACGTTAACTATAAGAAGATTTAATGTACCAAGACGTTCTTAAGTCAAAACTTTATTATATTTAGCGCATGAAATGTGTTTTTTTTATTCAGTATATCTATTTCTAAAGCTGTAAACCTATTCGCCTTTTCTAATTAAAAAAAGCATCCGTCAGTTTGATTTTGATACTGCTAAGAAGGCTTATATCTTTACGTCCGGTACTGCCGTTAGGTGTTCCTTCAGACACTTGCCTACTACCGCTGATTTCTTCCAATACTTATTCTTACTACGGTAGTGAATAAATGAATCGTTACGATCCATCCAAAAATTCACAGTAAGTAAAATATAAAAGTTATTAAGCTAACCCGAATTCGTTGACTAACATCTTGACCGCTGGGTTCAGCCGTCATTATCACCACAAGCACGAGCACCCGTACTTTCTGTTGTTGGTCTTCTTTTTCACGTTTTCAAAGTGTACGCAGGACAGGCATCTGTTCCATGGCTTATATTGAATAGTTCACTGTGCCTACAACAACCAGATAGCTAATTTAATCGTAATTAGCTGCGACACCGTCAATCGATTAACTGAAGTCAATGCTGCACCAGCTGTAAGATGCTGCGGCATCAGAGAGAAATGTAGGAATCAAGTAACACCAACCAAAGAAATGGCGCTACAGACACAGCAGCATTAGCAGTAGCAGCAGGAATACGGTGCTTTAGATCAGCAAAAACGATCTAAGGATAATAGCAGAATACCATCACTCTGTTTGTGAGCGAACATCGCACCGCACCACAACAACACTAAGAGCAGCAGTAGCAACGGCAACGACGGCAGCAGCAGCAGCGATACCACACACGAGCACACCGCCCTCCCGGTACCTCGTCGAGGTCTCTATTGACAAACAAACACAACAACTCACGAGCGCAATAACAGTGGTTCGTTATTGGGTCTATGTTTTGTTGCACTAAAAGGTGAGCGGACGAACGACCGAACAGGAATAAGGGCCACGGAAAGAACGTGTTTGAGCCGGCGACACGTATCGTCGATACACACATATAGTTAGGCAGTTTACATACATATCTCCAGTCGGTCAATTGTAATGTATATATATACCCGTGTCAACAAGTTATACATACATATATTAGGTATGGACTGTTCGCCGCGACTCGTCTGAGCAGTGGATCACAATAGTGCCCTGCTGAATGGTCGTGTGGTATCCTAGAACGTTTAGCTCAGTAGTTGAGTAGTGATGACCATTGCAATAAGCGATTAATTATTGCCGCAGTGTGTAGAAAACTGTAGATCCGCCTTGCTCAATGGTTTTGCTATTCGGCAAAATAAGCGAGAAACGACGGCGGGAAGAGGGTGATAGGCCTGTTTGACTAAGGTACCGGTCGGCTTCAAAAGCGTTCGAATAGGGAGGGAAAACCACAATGAGATGGTATGGCTAGAATAAAATTCTACGGAAAAACAGTTAAATGTTTGGATAGAAACCGAGATACGTACCAGATACTCACCTACTTATTATTCACAACAAATAAAGGAGGAAACTGAATTAAGCTAAAGAAGTCGCCGGTGTAGTCCTTGAGATGTACTGGTGATTGTTGTATATTAAAATACTGAATCTAATGATACTGTGACGTCTCTTGCAAGAAGAATTGCGCATATGAGTAAAAAAAAGTTGTGTTGCAACTTTATTTGTGTGTGTAGGTGACGTATCTAACAAGTGGTACCGAAATAGTTCATGAGAAGACCTTGGTAAAAAAAACAGCAATTATAAAGATTTGCACCAGCGTTACATGAGGGTGGGTGCATGAGCTGATTAAGAAGCGGTAATGATGCAGTATTTACTATAAAAAAAAAAACAATTTGTTAATGCAAGTATATTTTTAGCTAGATTTTTTTTCATTCGATTGTTTAAGAACTATTTTCGTAAGTTCGCCACCATATACTACACTTTCCAAACCAAAATGGAATTGGCTTTTGCCGTCAGTCATTGTTAATAATAAAACAAGTAAACCATGGCGTGAAACTTAAGTGTGATTAATTATAAGATGTTTGCTTATCAATATATATTTAATTCATTTTTATCTCACAATATAGCTTTATTTTCGGATAACACGTGATTATCGGCAATATATGTACACGTTGAGTTCGAATCCGCGCGTTGATAAACATCCTTAAATGTGGTACCCAAATTTTCGTTTCCTGAAGGAGATGTTTGGATGGTCCTTTGTGCAACAACAGTAACATGTGTAAATTGATGAAATATGTAAATTAAGTAAATGTATACGTTTTGTAGGTGAACCGTCATGAATTTTCTAAGGCCATTGCGATCGCCATGCCAACTTTCTAACGTTCACCGATTGTTACTAAGGGCAACTACACCTACTCTAAAAATTGCAGTTGATGCGAGATACAGTGTTCTTGGTTCAGAAGCATCTCGCAATCAAAACACCTCAGATTTGCAAGCGTTAGGCTTCTCGACTAAAAAACGAGTATCTAAAAAAAGAACAACAAGCGTAAGTTTGCATCAGTTCATGTCGATCTATTCACGCATACACGCTATATATATATATATATATATATATATATATAAATATATACATACAAGTATATATATATATACTTGAGTGCCGCATAAAATCATTATATAATAAATACAAAACGTTTTAAGTGAAGAACGTGGTATCTCTATCATTTTTATCTATACTAAAAGTAAAGAAAAAATTTTAAAGCAGCATTCCTTAGTAAACACTCTGTCGGACCCAAAAAGATTCTTAATTGTCACCTTAATTATCCTTGACTGGGTGCAGAATGAATCTACAGAAATAACGAGTTAGCTTAACAAAACTTCGGCTCTGTTGAAAAGATATTGTTTAACGATAATTTCGTGAATCTTGTAATGTAAATATGCAATCTAGTTCCAGGGGAAGCCAAACATATTAGCGTATGCCACGTGTGAAGAGTATGATCTTACCGCGATACGCAAAGGTCTTTCGGAGCAGGTTGGTAAAAACCTGAGCCATCTTTTGTCATATTGGTTGAGCCATTCTCATTGGAGTTGTTAGAATTTTTACAGCAGCGCCGATTATCATAGTTGGACTTCCTAGCAATAAAAACAATGAAACTCTACTATTATACGTGGTCTGCCCACTTTGTATAATAATATATATCCTTATTCTTGAACTAGTTCGCCTTCGCAATTAGTCGTAAGATATGTGCCATGCAACAATACAGGTAATATAAAACTAGGTAATTTTTGGTTCGCGATGGATTTGAGGTGTATATGGTAGCTGATCCAAGTAGCTAACGTACTATCCAATAACGAGAACATACATATCAAGTTTAATGCTCTTGAGTAACATCTTATTTTCTCTGTTGACAGGGCCTTTACGAACCGCTTACGCTGCCGGAAGAAAGTAATGCAATCCATGCAAGAGCGAAATATCTTGTTAACGGGAAAGCCAGGAATATTTTTTTTTTCGAAGAGGGTATGCTATGACATCAATAAAAAGAATATCAATGAACACCTAGATTGCCACCTTGAATGCTTAGAAGCTAGTAAATGTCTTATACTTTCTTTATTTCAAAATGAACCTTATATCTGACTCAGGCCTTAATTTTAGGTAAACTATAATTTTCTACTTTTTTTTGGAAGAAGTAGAGGAAGAGCTTACATCTGAATATTTTGTATATATCTCATACCTTGTTTTTGATGTTGAACTGTGACTCAGCAGGCTCAGTTGTGTTTTGGAATATTAGTAAGACGGAAGCGAATATTGTGCTGCAATTTTTACGGCCCTTTGAAAAAGGTTCGTACCGTCAAGACATGGTTGAAGATGAAATTGAGCTTATGGAGTTCATTTTGCATAGGTGAGTTACCAGTAACAGAAGACGTAACATTTCGGATCTTGTGAGTCATTTTTACGCTATACCTAACCTATCGTTCTTCTATCGTGAGTCTAACGTGATTTCACTTTGCATTAGCGGACCGAAAACAAGAATTTCAGATGGCATAATTGAGCTGCGTCGCGTCGAGCCAGACCTCAAAGAACTGACCTCGCAGGAGCATAAAGCAGGCGCAGCACAAAAAAAAAAAGGAAGCACGTTTGGAAACGTCGAAAAATTTGAGGGAAATGCTGATCCTCTTGAGATGTACGCTTTTTCTAATGGCATAGCCCTGTCCGTCAAGCTTGCAATATGGGAAGCAACACTTGAGGAATACGTAACCAGCATTGAGGATATACTCAAGGTAATTGCTATTAGAGATTGGCATTTTCCTACGTTATTTATTCTTATTATTGGTCGTAATTGAAGCTTTGTTTAAACAAAGAGAGGATCTTTTAAATTCACAGCAATGGCGCAAAAACAAGAGTATAGTTAAGCAACAAACTTAGCGCAGTTTGTTCTTAGTTATTAAAAATAAATTATGCGTTTGTTAACTGACGTGTCACTATATTTACTTTTGAAAATAAACACTCATTTATGTAATGAACATTTGTGAAATCTGAATTATGGTGATTCGCTTTGTCAAATACTAGAAAACTTTCTGAAAACACAAACAACTTGGCAATTCGGACACAACAGTACCTTCTTCATGCGCTTTATTGTTTCAGCCAAACCATCATAGACTTTCAAAAATATAAGCGAAGTATCGACCCTATCAAAGTATCAAAGAAACAAAAAACGAGCTGCACCAGCATTAACTTTTTTTTCATTGATAATAATGAACCATTCACAGGAAATTGAGAGTGGCAAAAAACTCACAGTTACAAGACAACACGTTTTTCGTAAAACGGGTGAACTTTTCTCCTTACGTCACAGGCTCAATCTATCTTCAGATCTTCTAGATATACCCGATTTCTACTGGGATCGCGAAGATCTCGAAGCTCACTTCTTAAAAACACGAAAGACGTACTCCATTGATCGACGGACGCGCGTTATGAATGAAAAGATTAAGCACTGCCAGGAACTTATGGACCTCGTTTCACATCATCTTGAGGATAAGCATCACGTCAGGTCAGGGTGTATGCGGTATTATTCTTATAATTTATTAATAGCAATATTGTTATTTATTAATTTACTAACAGCCTTAAAAAATTTCAAAGTTTAAAAAAATACAGAAAACATGTAATGGATAGACATTCATTAATGGCCTCCACTCCCTACGTTTTTTCTGATCGTTTCTAATAGTATTGAATTAGTACAGAGCATTTTTAGGTTGGAGTAAAAAAGACAGAATTTAGAATAATCTACTTTTGGCTAATTCTTGCCTTTTACTTCCTTCCTTAATTGATCCTTAGAAAGTATTGTTGACCTTTTAAGTCTCGAGCAACCGTGAGCTTTGGACTGCGTTTTTAATTTTCTATTTCTCCTACATCAAATAATTAAAGCGCTTTTAATGTAACAGACCTTCTGTACTCTCGAATTATTTAGCGTTTTTACGATATGAATTCAAACTCCTTGATCCGCAACTACATAACTAAGTAGTTAAACACGGAAAATTAAGAGAGATGCTTTTAGAATTATGTGTGTAGTACCAATGTTTCGTATCCGTACGTACCGTAGTGAATCAATTATAAAATCTCGTTTGAATGTTTTTTTGTGTTTTACAGGCTTGAACTAATGATAATTATTTTAATTGTTGTGGAAGTTATCTTCGAGTTTATCCACTACGCGGAAAGATTTTCGCATTCCGAGGAAGAGGAAATTATTCAAAAATGATTTTACAAAACAAAAGGAATGAATGATCTCGGTAAAAATAATTTTTTAAGAAAACTTATGAGACTTAAGTTAATCTATTATTAATAATAATGTTACATGCGATCCTTACCTGTAATAAAATAACCTGGTTATTCAAGATTGTCCTTACCCATTTTCAGTGTTTCCTTCTGTCTGCAAAAGATAGGCACTATGGAAGACCGCGTAAAGCAAAAGCATTGGAAATATTCTTGAAAACCAAGTATTATAATAATGTTGCTGTTACCATGTTCATACTTGCAGTACATTAATTTTTTGTTTGGTTTCATACAATTAATTTAATGTACGAAAATAGTACACAACGTTATTCTGTATCGCTTAGGTAATGTCTACCTCGTCCTTACACCTGGTTCTCTCTAGTTTTTAGTTTTCCTCATTAAAATAGAAAAACGTTCCATAGGAATAGCAGAAAATACGGACGGGAATCAGAATTTAAGTGTTTCGAACGGTTTAAACTTTACTATATTGCCTATGGTGTCAAAAAAGGTCAACAACAGGCCCGTCAAACCTGGAGCAGTGACTGAACCTGTGACGCCACACTCGCTCGTTCGTTCACTATTTATAGGCCAAACGGGTCATGTCGGGTTGGATTATTTTGAAACATAAGTAAGAATGAAAGTAAACACCCAATTAAAATGAAAGCTTAATGCATGAATCGTGCCAAAAATTAAATTTCAAGCAAAAGCATACTAGTCAATAAACGTCTTAGAGACTTCAAACATGTAAAGAAGAGTTTCCATTTTTGTGTTCACCATATACTGTTGCGATTTTTTTCTCAAAGCATCTGAAACGTTGAAACGATCTAGTAAACCCAAGCACAAAGTAAAGTAAAGCTCAAGCCTGTCCCTTAGATTGAGTTCAAAATCATTTTTGAAGATTTGAGGACATGGCACACGTGCACTGAATACTGCCGTATTCGTTTTGAAGGACGTGACTAGAATTTGTTTGATACAGTACTGCGCTGTAATAATGCAAATAGAGCGAATATGTCCTTTCGAGCTTAAGGAAAGCCTTTAAACGAAGAGCTTTTTGTCTACAGAGTTGTTATGGATAGTAATGTCCATAATTGAAGTTTCTTTTTATTATTAGTTTGATCTGAAGATGTTAGAGATATAGATTTTTATTTTTTTTGGGAAAAGACTATTAGGGTTTGCATGTACCTGTGCAACCCATGCATAGGTAACTGTCTATTTGAGGTGAGGGCAGCTGCTTCCGCCATCTTCTTCCTTCGCTCTGCCCGGGTCGAGCAGACGACGCCACTCAGTTTTGGCTCATCTTTGTCTTTATAGTTTTCCCTGCTACGCAACAGCGGTAGTGAGCATAGGAACAGCAGGCGGAAAAAGCTCTAGCAGCTGTTGCTGGAATTGTTGTTGTTGTGGTCAGTTGTGCTCCGATGCTCCCGCAGCGGTCCTTGTCTTTGTTTTGTTGCTACTATTCGATGACTATCGCAGCCGTGAACCGCCCCCACAAGCCAGCAACAAAAAATCAATTGACCAATTCGTTCGCATCTTAGCAGTTACAAAGATACCTATTTAGTGAATTAACGTTGTCCTTTTGTTTCGCTGTTAGGCTAATAAACTTGTGTTTAGTAGTACAGCACGGACACAACGAAACAGATCAGACGGCTGGTGGAAATCATCTGTTTTACCTGTTTCGTGTACTGGTTGCCATGAAGAAGATCGAAATGTTCTTTATGTCATTGTTGGTCGAAGTGTCCTGTTTACGTTCGGACCATTTCAGCCATCGGTCAAATAATTGGCCATTGTCTGTGATCACGTAGGAGGAGGAAGAGAGGTCAAAGAAGGCACTTCGAAGGAACTGATTTATGTGGGGAAAAGCGACAGCTGGATGTGGGCCTTGTTGTCTGCGTCGTGGTCGGTGAAGGCGCACTAACGCTGACGTTTTGTTGCTTAGAAAAAGCGTAGAGCAATTGGGCTCTGTTGCGACGTGTCCGACTAGACAATGGACATTGGGATCGGAACCCAGGCCCACCAGCCACAGACACAACTTATGCTCCCTATTCAACAACAACAACAACAACTCCAACAAGAGCCTACGTTCTTCACAGCATCTGAGTGCGAACAGTTTAGTACGATAATTCCTGGTCGTTTATATTTCGTGTGCTGTTCGGCGGAGGTTGCCGCAAAACTATCGGCTCGAAAAGATGTGCACTCGTTTAATATTGATAAGGAATTGGTATATGAGAATTTCTACAATGACTTCGGCCCACTCAATCTATCGATGTTATATAGGTACTGCGTTAAAGTGCAGCGTAAACTTTCCAGTGCGAAGAAATTCCATAAGAAGATCGTCCATGTTTGCGGAACAGATGGGCGTCATAGAGTGAATTCTGCCTATTTGATGGGGTCCTTTCAAGTGCTAAGTCTACAAAGAACGGCCGAAGAAGCAATAGCCAGTCTTGAAACTAAGATAGATTATATAGCGTTTAGAGATGCTGCATTAGGACCTAACACGTATCCGTTGACTTTAAGATCTTGTTTGTGTGCTGTGGAAAAAGCATTTAAGCTTAAATGGTTAGACTTTGCGACGTTCTCCTGTGATGAGTATGAATTTTATGAGAGAGTCGAAAACGGAGACTTTAATTGGATTCTTCCGAAGAAGATACTTGCTTTTTGTGGACCGCACAATGTTGCCCGTATCGAGAACAGTCAAACATTACATTCACCAGAGACCTACTTTTCGTATTTCCGTAAACATTGCGTTACCGATGTTGTCCGATTGAATAAAAAAATGTACGATGCAAGTAAGTTCACTGATAATGGCTTTCGACATCACGACCTGTACTTTCTCGACGGAAGTACTCCGACAGATGAAATAATGCTCCGCTTTATCGAAATATGTGAGCATGCCGATGGCGCTGTAGCTGTGCACTGCAAAGCCGGTCTTGGTCGCACCGGAACCCTAATCGCCTGTTATATAATGAAACACTTTCTTCTAGCGGCTGATGAGGCCATTGCTTGGCTAAGAATCTGTCGCCCAGGGAGTGTGATTGGGGTTCAGCAGCACTGGTTGCAAGATAAACAAGAATTTTTGTGGAGTTTAGTGCCAGATCGATTCGTAAGTGATAAATTGCCAGCACTCACGACAAGATCACCGAAAGACGAATCAACGTCACCTACGAAAACCAAAGAGAACATCACTGTCTTACGTCGAGTGAAACGGAATAACAACCCAAAGGTTGAGCAAGACATCATAAGATGTGTAGCCGACATCACGCTTGACATTCAGAACAATAATATTAATAGCAACGACAATAACGAAATTAGAAGTACTAACAACAACAACAATAGTAGCACAAATATAAATATTAGCAGTATTTATACAAATAATAATTTTGAGAGCCAAGGTGACCGGTTGAATAAAATTAAAGCTGTACGCAGACAACGCGGTGTTGAGAAAATTTGACGATTAAGCCGTCCGGTCGGGGTGGTTACCCGGCGTCAGCTTCGCAGCCGAGCGCGCAAAAATGCTTGCAGAAGTTGCCCAGCGTGTCAAGTATGATGATAAAATGGATTACAAACAAAGGCCTTCCTGCACCCGGATCTGTTGAACTTCGGGTTTATTTGAGCAGGAAGCAAGAAAGGTAATGCAAGCGGTACCTCAATATTGGCACGCGCCTATTGTCTATCACAGCCCTACAAGATCGATGTACTTGCGCACGGAAGCACGTTAAATGCTTCTTGAGCTTTACTATTTCCTCCACCCCTTCCGACGGCTAAATTTGCGGAACTAAAAAAACCCAACATGACGTTACATTCATCCAATTAACCATCTGCACATAATCCACTATTACTATAATGTCATGACAACATGTCATAATTTCAAAACATATTCAGAGAGAAACGGCGGCAAATACGATCTCATTTGTAACAAAAAGGTCTAAGGACTTAGTTACCCGAAACCGAAACAGGCAACATAGGTCACCAAGTGAATGAGAGAGTCAGTGATAGCTTGCGAAGATAACCTCATCGTTGACAGATTGAATGCGTGACACGAGAAAAATAGTATACGTAGCATGTTATGAGGGCTGTCTTATTCCACACGCGCCCACTATATTAAAAAGGAGTTGTAGTTGAATAATTAGTAATGCTAGGTTGCATCAGTTAATAGTGTTATCTGTATGCGTGGTCGTAACCCGTTATGTGTTGACATGTCACAACAATAAATATTGCCACAGCAAAGAGTAGCAAGCAATAGTGCAATGGGTCGCTATTTTATAATAGAGTGTGGTCCTTCTTTATTTAAATAGATCAGTATCAGCTAGGTAAACACAAAACACATTGTGAAATTATCTGTCTGTACAGAGAATATTCGCACTGAAAGCGATTAAAGGTCATAGGCACGATGAAGATCCGACGACCCGTTATATTATTATAGAATAAGACATTTAGGTACATATAGCATACAGGAAATCGAAAGGTATTTTAAGTATAGGTTAATATGGGGAAAATTTTCAATATATAGCTTGTCAAAAATAGGTATCTAGTTGCACTACGGGCTGATTGAAATGGAAATTTTCATTGGTTCAACCGGATACATATTTTCTCTTAATCGTAACGCCAGCTCCTATCTAATCGTCAGCCTACTCTTGCTCCTTCGTCCCGGTTTAAGTAAATGCATTTTTATAGATTAATTACCGTTTTCTATGATGCGATTCTGGTAAAAAAGCAATTTGTTAAAATATACTAACGATTGCCCTGCATGACTTCATTTGACCAGACCTACACGAATGAAATGACAACGAGTGTTAGTTGCGTCAAGGCTGTGACTTCGTGGAGACGAAAATATGAGAAGCACGTGACAGAAGTTCGTAGTTCCTACTACGAATATTTACACTAAATTAATCGGAATAAAAAATATATAGATATGAGTATATACACTATTCTCTGTAATCTTATTAAGTCTTTGTATATGATCTACGTTCTGGCACTCATGGTCTTATGGGCACTCATACATGCTGCAGATATTTGATGTTCACACAATATTTGACTGTTATGAACGCCCTGTGTTTTAAAGGTGGGTTTAAATTTAAAAAATAAAGCCCACAAATAATATAATTTTTCTACTCATAAAATGCGTGGTGTTTTCTATTGCTAATTAATACATTTTTGTATTACATTCCTTTAAATGTCTATTCTTATTATTCCTTGTTGTTTATATTTTTCAATACCAAAATTTTGTAATATATAACGATTTACTATTCTACGATTTACTATCACCAGTAGTCTGACTGTACTAGAGCACTTTCCCATATGTTTATTCATAAAATATACGGAGAAGATCAGTTTAGTACAGATTTAGTACCATTCTAGTGTAGTAGAAGTAGTAATGCATTATTTTTTTTCAAATAGAACCAGCACAGATCGCTCTTTAGCCAACCTTTATAAATTTGTATGACTTCAGAATTTTAGTAAAAATTATATTACTGGTGCGCTTTTTTTTTTATAGAGAGTTCTTTCGTGAAAAATAGGAAGGTAGGAAGAAGTGTATGACGTAGCCTAACAGTAACGAGTTCTTCTCAGTAGTCTATGTAACTTTCGACTTAATTAGTTCAACTCGGAGAACGCAGTGTGAAGAGTGAGCGGCTGGGTGAGCTTGTTGTTCCGATAAGTCTGGATTAATTTGAAGCTGATCTAAACTTTGATTTGTACTGAAAATTTTGCTTTTAGCCACACTATTCTTTGTTGAGGGGGCGAAATAGTATGCGTAAGTTTTTTATGGAGTACAGAAAAATGGTAGCCATGTTGCTAACACTATTTTGTCGTTCCTATAATCTAATTATTTTAATTGAGGCATAAAGAGAGTAGAATAAATATATTTTTTTAAACCTGTGATTCAAAACGGCATTTTAGAGCATAAAAAACACTATTTCAAATCAATTTAAGCTGAGTTATTAATAAAAAAAGAATTATCTTTTAAAATAAGGCGCTACGGAGCAGGCTTCTAGTTTTTTTTAACCTTTTTATCCAAATTAGTTGAAAAATGTGTAATCAAATTCACAGCCACTTTGGCAGTTTTCATTTAGTTGTTTTTTTCTTTTCGATCATCACTCAAACTGAGTAAGGTCGAGTTGAATTTAGTGGAACTTTTTAATGCATATTATAGTCCTGTTCATATTCTGAACATAGGGGCGGGTAATTTTACATGCTGTCCTTAAAATATCTGACTTCACTGTAGACGCTGTATTCCAGCTAGGTAATAATGCAACGGCATGTATATTTATCAAACAGCCTGTGGCAACGTGCGAAAGCGTGTAATCAAGCTAGGATAAAGAGCCTATCAAGGTAATACCTTAACGAATTTGTAGGCGTCTGTAATATGTAAAGTAAAAAACGTCAACTAAGAGACGAATGCGTGCATTAGGTGTCTGAATGCTCAATATGTCGATCGTAGTAAGGCAAACTATACGAAAAACGCAGCCGTGTACTTTCCACGAAATAAGAAAACATTGTTTTTATTTGTATTATCAGATTCTATCGGTATGTTTGTACAACTAAAAATAATAACCGAAGATTAAAATCATTTGTTATTCGCAGTTTGTTAGTGTTTAATATTATTATTGTTATTATAATCGTAACAATAAATTCTACTTTATGAAGCAATTCACCATGACAGTGTAAGGGTACCAAGCGCAATAATTATTTAGGTCGTACATACACACATCAATATATAAGATGTTCACTTATTAGTACATTCTATAACTAGTACTACGACTACCGCTACCGGCAGCGACAGCAAAGCTCTTATAATTACTGTTATAATTATTATTACTTAGTGATAACTTTGACCTAAGAACAGGACAAGTAGGAAAACTCCAGATAAAATAGTGTCATACCAAATAGAAGCAACTGGTGTATTCATAGAGTCTCTTAATTCTTGAATTTCTAACGTAACTATTCCAAGTGTCATCGATACATAAATCAATACAATCTGCAACGTGCTGAAAGCTAGACGGTGGGATAATGTGTCCTGTAATCAGATCCGGCCGCTACTTTTCCTTTTTAGTGGACTGGCTTATCTGACCTTATGGCTTTTCTCTTTCTGTCTTATTACCTGTTATGGGCACTTACATTATTACCAGTTATGCCTCAATGTAAACCATCTATAATGTGAAAAAGACTCCTGATGTTGATCTGTTTCAAATGCTGGAGCCAACTAATGACCTGCTTCTTTCTATTTGAAGCCTACGAAGAAACGAAGAACTTTATCAGGCCCCAATTGGACCCGGCGTTCAACTATTTTATTCGTGCTATAGCACTCCCTGCGGTTGAATTCAACAACTACTCTCTCAACCACTAATCGGTATATACTCTTCAGTGTTAGTAATTATATATTGTAAAGGTATTGCATGGTCACTTTGCTTTTCTTATAAAGCAAAGTCGCTTCGTCCTAATTATGGTCGCTGTCGTACAAGCTACGAACTACATCTACAGAAACTACACTAACTACCATAGCATATGTCGATTTAGGTAGAGCTCAAATACAGGGAAGTGTAAACAAGGAACATTGAACATCTAGCCTTGCACTTGCACTAATATAAGGTCACAATCAACTAATAACTGACTTTTCCGCATGCATCTAACCGTATTAGTTGTTAAATAGCGTGCGGGTAAGTCGGTCAATCATCATTACATGTAATCAGGCCATTGTTGTGTAGGATAAAGTACGGTCGTTGCTTTGACGCAAGGGGGTACTTTGAAAGGAGTGAATGATATCGTCTCTTCAAAAGAATACCTGTTTAAGATACATATTATTAGGTAAGCGCGCATTCGACTAAATAACCAGCCACATATGCAAAAAACAAAGCGATTTGTTTAACAAGATTGCCTACGACCGGCGTTATCGATCTGTAATGACTACAAACGCCATATGGTCGCAATCAGCGGCATATAAGGCGATTCGCAAGCGGTATGTGTTTCACATATATTTATAGAGAGATGACCGTTGCTATTATTTTTGTTAAAGTGTGAAGTCCAGTAAACTATCTGGATAGAGGACACATAAGCAGGTGGTAAATACATCATAAAGTAAGTAATCTAATAATAATATCTTAAGCAGTTGAATCAGGCGTTTTTCATTGAGTATATGGTCCATGAAATATACATTTCTTTCAAAAGTTTGATCAACCCTCAGCAAAGACTGTTGACAAGCTATGTGCTAAGGGACTGGTTGGGTATTTACAACGTAAAAATATCGATCAATCCACAACAAACTCCGCACAAATTTGCTACGGCCAAACCATTTAGGCTCTAGTTAGCCAATTCATTTCCGTCTAGCTTGAGCAAAGCGGATATATATATATATATATATATATAGAACAGTCTTATAATCAAAAACACCTAAAAAAGTATTGGTTTATAAAAAAATTACGCTTTCATTATATTTCCCGACAAAATCGGCAGATCGATATAGATCCATGGTGTGCCCATCTACATATAGAGTTAGCTTGTGAATAATAATAGCCCACAATGGCTGAAAACCTAAAATAGTAATTGTGATATAATAGCAGTTCGTGACAATATATAGCTACTCAGTCGTTACTAACTACGGCTGTTGTTGCGTTCACCTACTTATGCATCAATTTCACTACAGGCCACAAGGTTTTCATCTCCATTTAATAGCGTCATTCATATTTTGTTATTTGAGTCCATCGTCAACGAAATTGGACTTCACGGGACAATCAAGGCTTGTATTGAGTTCAAGAAAAATAGTCAAAGTGCTTCAAGACAGTTCTCTTGTATCAATGCGAAAGGCGATAGCAGAGAACAACGTGACATTGGAGCGCTTTTATCGACGAACGCGCGTGCAGGATACAAAACCATTGTACGTAAGAATAGTAAAAATCATCATTACTAATGGATGTTATTCATTGCCTGGGTACTATATTACAACTAGTTGTATTATTATCATCTCTGTCGTTTGCGCATATAGCATTTGTTACTTCTGTGA